TTTTCACTTAAAGAGAGTTAGATACTGGACTGCCTTAAAATGTTGAGTTAACTAATCTTCTAGTGGTAAGAGAGAAGAATAGGATTCTGTGTATTACGCTCTGTCAATTCACTATTTGTAGCTCAGTTAACTCAAACTTTTAAATCAGCTTAAATGCTTTTTAAGCGAAAACATCATTTTTGATTACAGTGCACCGAAATAATCATGTTTTACATCCCCCTCCCGCCACCCCCACCGTTCATCGAGGGAAACTGCTGAGCTAGTTCAGAGACCCTCCCTGATGTCATGTGTCACTCCGAAATTCAGCTTTGAGGAAGAGAAAAATAGGGAAAATGAATAAAATAGAAAGGAAAAAAGCGTAAACCAGCCCTGTTCATATAATAGTTATAATAGTTAACAGGACAAGAAAATGTCTCTTAAGTTGTGATGACGTACTATCTAAAGTCTCAACAAACATTTTAAGGCAGGCTGTTAATGAATCTTTTATGTTAAAACACTAATTTTTCACCCAATCAGCACCCTTGGGAAAGACTCCTAATGCTACATAAGCTTACCTCTGTACGCTAACGACTGGACTTCATTCTGAATTAAACTGTATGCCAAGGTTTTGTAAATGCAATGTTGTCTAAATTTCCACTTTAAAACATACTTTATTGTCAGCCAAACGATTCATGAACAAGTCTAAGTTGATAATTATAATAATTGAAACTTAGTAAGGAGGACCACAAAAGAAGCTGCTGGGAAAAAATACAGATCTTAATGTATCAGGCTGCCTTGACATTTTGAGTTTTCTCAGCAGGTTTTTTACAGCGCAGAAGAAAAATGCATCTCATTCTCACTGCAGTTTGCTTCTGGAGGCAGACACAGTGGCACGTCTGAGGCCTTCAGACGGTGTGTGTGTTCTACAGAGCAGGACCACAGCAGCTAAAACACTTTCGATCTGACTCTGAGAATGACTAAACAACTGGTGCCTGGCCTGAGAGCTCTGCTCTGTTTTATACACACCTTATCTTGGAAGTTCTTCACACAAAGAAGGCTCAGAGTGTCAGCAGCTGAGTCATTTCATGAGGTCGGTGCCAAATGGACGTGCAAATTTGAGTCACAGTTCCATTGTTTCAGTGTTTCAGTTACGTGTTGCTCTTCATTTTGGCAAATACCAGTAAGACGTTGGGTATTTCAGGCTACCGCACTCTCTGTTATCAAGCTTTGACCTTCTGGCCGTTTTTAACATTTAAATTAACTGAATTGAATGTAAATACTGTAAAATATCATAGACTTTCTCTCGTTGTATTCTGTGTTACAGATGGACCTGATATGCCTGATGGAGCCTGTCAAAGATGTTTAATTCACCAGCTCCTCTCAAGATTAAATGACGCTGCTTACTCTTCATCATGTCGCATAAAGAGGACTTCCACTGATTTTTTGAAATGTCTGTATAATTAAATGATTAGACAAGGTCATTCAGAGTGGTTTGGTGTGAAATGCTCCGTTTTAGAGATACCTACCGTCTAAAGAGTTTAGAGCCTCTAAAAACTTCCTCAAAAGAAAGTTATTACATGAAATGTTTACAAATATATTGTTTTATGGTAGTGTTGAGATTTTGGCCTAAACTTTATTTTTCATATCCCTTCATGTGAGGTACATTCAGGCAATTCCAAGGCAAAATAGTTCCCAAAGTAAACATTTTTTTTTCCATTATTAACAAGTAAACATAGGTTCCCTGGTCAATTTGGATAGTAAATAAAATGTCTATATTTGTGTTGTAGACATTGTGACCCCTGGTTCCTATCACCACCACTGTAAAGAAATCTGAGTGGGTATCTCCACAGTGAACCGCTTCATGTCAGTCACTCTGAATGACTTTGTGTACATCTCAGTGAATGAATTACACAGAAATTTTGAAAAAATGGTGGATTTCTCCGTTAATGTGACAATATTTATTTCATGGCTGAATTAATGTTTTTATATTTAATTGATAAATTATGCAGTGCTCATAAGGAAAGAGATATGTTTTAATGTACTGTTTTATTGCTGATAACATATTTTTAAGCTTGGGACACACTCTCAACACAGTGCAACATATAAAAACGTTTAAAAGATGCTTTAAAATCGCTGATCAGATCTAAGAACTGTCTGGGTGTGGTCCTAATATTCAAATGAGCACACATGATTGACATCCCTCTGTCCAACACGCTCTGCCTGCTACCCCACTGAAGAAGAACTAAACGTAATAGCATGTGCAGGAAGAGGTGGGTAAAGTCAGCTCTGCACCATAGATACACATACATGGCGTGTTGTCTGTTGTTCTCTCTCTGAAGCGATACGTCTGCGCGTCCGCCATGTTGGAGCGGTCAAGATCCGCTTGTGAACAAATTCACTTGTATTGAGAGATGATGAGTCTCAGGATTAAATCAGCCACGACTTCCTTATTACTCAATAACTGATCATGCTAATTAGCAGGAAATCCATCAGTGTGTGAATCACTTCTAATCCTAATACACGTAAAAATAAAATAAACCCCCCAGAACACAGTAAGAAGGACGAAGCTGAAGTTGGCTTCCTATTCTCCAGCTTCTTGTTCGAGTTTTCCCGTTCCACCTTAAATGGTGCAGCAGTTACTTTCTGGTGCCTGAATCTGCACCATTTAAGGTGGAACGGGAAAATTCAAACAAGAAGCTGGTGAAACTGACTTCAGGTTCATGTAAGAAGGTGGTAAAGTTAATCTATCACGAATATCTACACGGATTAAGGAATGCTAGAACTTACCTAGCTACAAATCATTAACCATAACTGTAAATAAATAACTACTACATAAAGTTAAGCTATAAGCGGTTTAGATGATGTATGTATGTATGTATGTAAAGTTAAGATCCCCTGAATAGACATAAACATCACACAAACAATACGCATCACACAAACATGAGTGTGGATCGCTGAGTTCCCTCCGTTATATAATCCTATCCCACTGTCTGAGTGCAATATTCTTGAAATAGTATCATTTTGGACAGTATCTTTAATAAACTGCCGCTCTGTAATGGTACTGAATGCAGTTCAGCGGCGATGTTGACCATCCCAAAATGGCGGCGCCGTTGACGTGCCTGACTGGACCCAACGCAGCATCTAGGTATGTATATCTATGCTCTGTGCATACGGGTGATGTTAAAGACTCCGCTGTGTCCAGCTTTTATATGGTGAGAACTTAAAGAAGCTTTTTATTAACTTTCTTGCTGGATGTGCATCCAAGAAATACTGGTGTGGCTGTATTTTTAGCTAATTTATGAGCAGAACTCAGACATGCTAGCCAGTACATGACTAGCAAATACAGCTTTGAACAGATGCACACACATAACATCATAATATTTTTATTTAAACACAACAAAGTTTACGTAAATGTGTTTCAGTGGAGCCAATTCTTAATGTTCCACACTTTGGGACACACTTACTTCTAAACAGTGGGATCTAACTGCTCACCATGTGGCCATAAGAGACAGGGATGCAGTCTCGCTTCCTGCTCGAAAAATGCAGGGACATGGCTAAAATAAGGCGTCGCTTATGGGCTAAGACTCTTTTGCTGTGTCTGAAATGGCCCTCTACTCACTGTACCTTACATTACAAATCTGGATCACTATATAGGGCTCTTGCTAATTCGTGATGGCAGTAAACAATTTAGGACACTATGTCTTACAAATTTGCTCATTACTGTGACAAATACACTATAAACGTTGTGCCACTGGTCCACTATAAACGCAGAGTCTGACTGCACACATGAGAAGCGCTAACTTACATCTGTAATTTCTCAAGAGAAGCTCTGTGGAGACACTGCCATTATAGCTGTGCTCTCTAATCCTACTCACAGAAGCTGCGCATGAATCTTCAAACCAAACAATGCGGTGCATTATGGATATCCCCTGCTAGGGTACATCGGTTGAACACTACTTATTTAGGTGCATTGTGGGATTGTTTCAGTGCAATGTTTTCAGACACCACGAAAAAATAGCAGAACTGGGGGCAGTCATGGGCTGGAGGTTAGGGAACCGGCCCTGTGACCGGAAGGTCGCCAGTTTAATCCCCTGAGCCGACGGTATGTGCCCTTAAGCAAGGCACCTAACCCCCAAGTGCCATGGATAGGGCTGCCCACTGCTCCGGGCTCACTGTCCCCTAGTGTGTGCGTTCACTAGTGTGTATGTGTTGTTTCGCTGCATGAATGGAATAAATGCGGAGGTGAAATTTTCCTGTTGTGGGATTAATAAGGGTCTCATAATCTTGATCTTAGACTTAAAGTAGTGCACTATGTAGTGAATAGGGCAGACTTTCAGATGCAGCTTTTGTGTTACAGCACTGACATGAAAACATGGGACAGCATTTTTTGAATAATGATTTTTTATTTTTTATTTATATTATTTAAAAATTAAACTCATGAAAAATGTACATCTTTCAACTTCACGTTAAAAGAAATAAAAAATATTAAAACCACCGAGAGAGAAAAAAAAACAACAAAAATATAAGTATTATTTTCTCAAGCATAAATTTAGGGATGAGGGTTTGGAACAGACACCTCCCAATAGAACGTACCCAATAAATAATGATTTTGAACATATTTAGCTTATTGCTATCTCTATTGGTGCCTTAGGTTTAAATAGATTATAACATAATCTTTGTAAATCTCTAAGGTCTGAATACTTAATTTCTTGTTTGCATTGTTTTACTATTGGAACCAATTTGGCAGAAGAATGAAATACAAAAAAGTAACTCAAAGTTATTGCTTAAGTGTTTTTTGTTTAAAACCTCTATTTACTATTAATGGAGTCATTTCCTTTATTAATACCTTAATAAAGGTATTAATAAAGAGAGTACTCAGCTCCCCGGACTGCATGTGTACCCGTGTGTGCTACTAGCCAATCAAATACCAGGAGAAAAGATATTAGCCAATCCCAGTGCAGGAGGCGGGGCTTTCCTGGACAAGAGCGGGAGTGGGCGTGTCTTCCTGCGCACATTCCAAATCAGCTACACCTCCCTCCACTACAACACACTCAAACCGCTGCTTTATTCCCCCTGTTTTCATTTCTTTTGCCTTATATTTAACGTGCTCGGTAAATGTCGACGAAAGGAAGTAAATAAAAGGGCAAATGAGAGATTTAAGAGTTTTTCTTGACTCTTTGCAGCAGCCCAGGACCTGCATATCTTACCTGAGACTGAGGAGGAGGCTGCTCGTCAACAGCTTGGTGCAGTCTTGAGGTCTCCTATTTCCTGTTCGTTTTCGCTGCTGAACTGAGGGCCTTTTTCCATCGAAGATGGCCGGAGAGGACGACCCCTGGAAAGAAGTGCTCGGTAAGACATGCCCCTTGTGAGAAACATGGCGTCTCTGAGGTGTACCTGTGCTCACAGGTGGGTCAGATGGAGATCCCCATTTAGCCCCTTTAGACTGACCAGAGCACTGCGGACCTGTTCTGTTTTAAAGAGTTAATAATGATGGAACTGTTATCTTGTTTTTCTTCTTCTGTCTTAAAGGGAAATCCCACTGAATTTTCAAAACTTCTCAATAACTAAATGATTAAGATGTAAACAAAGTCACTCAGACTCAGAGGTTTGATGTGAAATGTGCCAGTTTAGAGAAACGTACTGAGTCAAACTTGTTCACAGTAGTGCTGGTAGGAACCAGACGTCTGAAGAGTTTAATGCCGTTGAAAGCTCATTCTCAGAAAGCTATTACATTAATGGTGATCAGTACGCTATCTGATGTGTGAGACACTGTTTTATGATAGTTTTGAGAAGATTTTGATCTAAAATGTATTCAGTGTGGAGAGATACACACAGGGTATTACAGGCCAAAACAGTCTATATTTTGGGTTCACCACTGTTTTACCATTGTAATTACATATAAAACTCAGAAGACACGTGTAGGTTCACTGGTAGTTTTTGATAGTAAATAAAATGGCTATATTTGTGTTGTAGGCATTGTGACCCCTGGTTCCTATCACCACCACTGTAAAGAAATCTGAGTCAGTAATTTTCCACCAAGCCACTCTGAATGTTTACATCACAGTGGTTGAATTACGCAGACATTTTGAAAATTGGGTGGAATCCCACTTTAAAGCTTGGTCTCCCACTGAATAGTTTAAGTAAAGGAAGCACCACATCCACAAAAGGTGCTTTGAGGAAGGTTCTCTTCCAGTATCTGTGAGAAATGGTGTTCTTAAGGTAATATGATGACAGGACTTTAACAGGATTCCTTAACACATTCTATTGTGGCCTTATATGGTAGTCAGGTGTTGAAAATGACTGCATATTCTAGACTTTTTAGCAAATCTCTAGCAGCAATCAGAGTCAGAATCCTGACATTGCCCAACTAAGATAGCTTCGAGAGGCCAGTCTGAACACGCCTCACTCCACTCTGATATCTGAAGTGTTGTGGGTGTGTTTTTTTGGGCTGTGCTAGCTCTTCAGTGACCTTGTGGTGTGCTGCTCCTCAGGTTATCCTGCTTGAGAAGGACATATGGGGGTATTCCAGTTAGCCACATAACTTAAAGGGGCACTCTGACTGAAATGATGCATTTAACCATCTCTGCATGTGTTGTAAACATGCCTGCTCGCCTCCTACAGTGGTGCAGGGAGATTTTTCAGGTTAAAGACTAGAAAACCCCTCTTTTGGTGATGTATCTTGAAGGTGGGAGGAAACTAAGGAGCTGCCAAACTAAGGAGGCTGAGGGATGCAGTGCTGTGCTACAAAATACTATGTAACACAGCAAATAACTAGTTAAGTGCTAATTTTAGGCTGGAAAGCCCCTTTAAGCTCAAAGTAAGGGTTTTTTCTTAGGTCCTCTCCATATTGGACAGGTTTTACTTTGGGCTTAGGTTATGTGGCTAGTCTGATTTATGTATGTATGTATTTATTTATGTTCAGTTCTAATTTCTGTTTTATATAATTAGTCCACACATCTTGACTCTCCATGGCTCTAATTGTGCATTACACAGGTTCAGCTCAGATAAATAAAAAAATAACAAAATAAGCCATCACAGCCAATTTTGATCATAAATGAGAGAAAACCATATTATATACGGTTACTATACTATACACTGTTTTTAGCCTTTTTAGATGTTTGTTACTGTATTAAAATTGTTACACACTTAGTAGTTACACCCTGGTAACACTTTCTTCAACGCTTTTGATTCATAAACTTTGTACACCACACTAAAATAGCTAAAGCTAAAGACCTCCAGCATCCACAGCATGGACACTTTCCTGTTCCTTTCAGCACACCTGAGCCATGTAACCAAGGGCTGAAGATCACAGGTGCTCACTTGAATCCATGCAGGGCTGCAGGATTAATCTGGAGTTGATGAGTATTCTGAGTGGAGGCTTAAACAGTATTCATTTATGTCTCCCAGTACCCAGGCTGATGCTATGTTTTGTGTTTATTACATTACAGCATAGACACGGACAATGTCAGATTTATTTTTTATTTTATTTGTTTATTTGACAGGGACAATATGGATAAATGTTGTTACATAGAATGCAACACGTAATGTATAAAGACATCTAGCTTAAGCTAATTTGAAGCCCCAATCCCTGGTTAGGCCTTTAAGAATAAAAAAATAAATAAATAATAATAAAAAAAAAATGTTCATTGCTCTTCTATCTTTTCCCCTGTTTCTCTCTCTCTGTGAGTTAGTGTTCTCGTGGCATGCCTGAGCACTCTGCCTGTCATGTCCTGACACAGCATTATTACTCAGGAACAGCTTGATAAATTATGCAAAGTGACTGGGTTATTATTTAAGTTCTATCAGTTAGAAATGGAATAGATCTATGCATATGGGGTGGGTGATATGGCAAAATATTATAACACTATACTTAAAGACATTTTCACAAAAGGTGTCATGATATTTAGTTGTTCTGAGACAAAATTGAACAAAATTGAACCTGTGCTAACACATATAAAAATACAACAGCAGCAGCAACAACAACAACAATAATAATAACCCTAACCTAATTAAACAGGTCTAATTATGCTCACTTTGTAATGAAACATTTAGTTAGTCAGTGTTTTTCAAGTGCTGATGACATCAAAAAAGCGTAATATGACATAATTTAGCACAAAACGATAAAACATCATCAAATTGCCCAGCCCTACTTGGGCGTAGTGACATATAATATAAAATTCTGAAGTTTCATTAGTGGCAAAAAAACTCAATCTGTCTATTCAGAACACTGAAAATTAAAATCCTAATATGAAAAATGAAAATATGTACATATATCCATCTTAAAGGCACAATAACAAAAACACTCTGTTTCATTCTAATGAATAAAGATAGGCTGGAAAATGGTCAAGAATTAAAAATGAATTATGACTGGTTTTGGTACATAAAAACACAGAAATGTCACGAGTGGACCTCAAAGTGAAAAATCAAATACAAGAAAAATAGAGTAGAATATGGGGCCCTTTAAGAGAGAAAAATGATTATAATGCATTATATGACCATCTAATATGTAACCTACCACCTCATCCAGCTAATCAAGGTTCTGAAAGTCATAGGCAGGTGTTTTAGATTTGTTCTGGCACTTTTTTCTCTGATGAGCTCAGCTGAGGTGTTGTAGGGTCAGTGGATTCAACATGTGATGGTCATACGAGTGAGATATGACAGTGGTAGGAATTTTTAGTTCGGCATGGATGAGTCCTCAGAAAGACTTTTCTTTACTGACCTTTCTTGCCTTTCACTTCTGCTTTTCTCTTTTTCCTCTTTTTTTTTTCTAAGCAATTTCCTTTAGGGCCGAATCACTTTCCCACTGGCCATTTCGACTCCTTCTCTCTCTCTCTCTCTCTCTCTCTCTCGAAAATATTTTGATGTGAGTCTGTGATCTCGCCTCAGAAATCCTGCAATGATGTCATTGATCTAGTTCCCATCTGACTTCAGTGCAAAAAAATCAAAGAGAGAAAGAGAAGAGAAATAAAAGAGATGGAAGACTGAGTGGGAGAGACGAGAGTAAAGCCAAGTGTAAATAATGGCATTTGTGCTGAGAATTACTTCAAAGTTTTCGGAAGATTGACCAACAGATTCACAGCTCTTGCAACTTAGAGTGTACATTAACATTTTTTTGCTGATAGGAACATGTGAATACGCTGTCAACAAAAAAAAGGTACTAAACTGTCACTTGGGCAGTACCCCTCTTGTCACTGAGGTGGTCTCCTCAAGGGTACATATCAGAACCTTTAGTGAGGGAACATAACTGTACCATAATCCACTGAAATTATATTTTCTAGGATGTACTGACTCTCCACGCCCCGTCTCATCTCCAGGCTTTTTATTTAATTGTTTTAGGTTATAAAAAGTACAAATATGTACTTTTTACCTAAAAAACTTATTTAAGGTACACAATTAGACCGTAAAACCACTACTGTACCTTTGAGGACACATTTATATTGTTTGTACCTTGGTGATGAAAAATGTACCTGCATAGAACCTTTATTTCTAACAGTGTATTATGTGCACTGCATCATGCAGAAACCCATTTCTCTCATGTCAGTAAAAGTGTTTCTCTCTGTCTCTCTCTCTCTCTCTCTCTCCTCTCCTCCTCTTTTTGTCCTGCGTGTGCAGAGAGTGTACAGGATGCTGTGGGCCAGCAGGTCAAACTGAGCATGAAGAAGAAGGTGCAGCTCGAGGTTAAAGGGGACAAACTGGAGAGCCGAATCCTGGTGAGTGAGTCTGTGTGAGTGTGGGGGGGGGGACGTGGTTTTATCGTGTTGTAATGGATCGTTTTGCTGTGCCACATTTTAAACAGTCAGGTAACGTCAATCGTTTAATCAGTCAGTCAGTCAGTTGGTGTGGACTATGTGAAATGCACACTTTGCTGTCCAAATCATTCCAAACACAGCAGTGAATATGAGGTAAACTGCACAAAGTTGCACAAAAAATAACTGCACTCGGAAAACTGTTAAGAACCCCTGCTCTATAGAGAACACACTCAAATAATTTTTCTGCAGATTTTAGTGTTCAAATTATATTAATTTCCTGAGTTATCACGTTGGAAAAAATAAAAACATAAAAAAGTGCCATACGTTTTGCACAGGCCGCATTTTATATTTCTTTTTTTTTGAGTAACAATTTGAAAATCAGTAAAACATGCGACTTGACTGGGGTTACATACATGCAGTATCAAACAATATATTGTGCAGCTGTAATAGTTTTGCTGCTTGTGCTTTGAGGCTGTGGCGGCTGAAATGAGAAGAAACTCTAATACACAAGTTTATTTTTATTTCAGTAGTTGACAGAGAGCAAAGGTAGAGTCTCTCTGCTGTTCTGCTGCTGCTCAGCTTTGCTGTCTACATACAAAGCAGTGAGAATGGTCTTTTACTCTAGTGTGGAGTCCCTGCAACATCATTAGAGAGCTTGCAGAGCTCAAAGCTGCTCTGTAACACTTTGTCTTTGTGTAAGTGTGTGTGAAAGGGTGCAGGGTGTGGTTGCAGACTGTAGGGATCTGATTGCGCTGCCTGAGGCTACGCTTAACAGCCTGAGCTCCACTGGCTGGAGTTTTGTGCATTATGTAATATTCTACTATACTTAGCAGTGGAGAGCGGGATAATTGTGACACTTTTTGTCTAAGCATCCATAACTTGGTGGTTGTTGTGCTATACCTTCTATACTTAGGTAAGTCACTCACATTTGTCTGTTACAAAGCAAACACTAAGTTCTGTCATTATAACCTGACCCTCTGTAGGGAAACAAACAGGAAAAACACTGTTAATAAACCTGTTAGTCTACACTAAAACACTGTAAACACATAACACTTTGTATGTATGTGCATGTGACTTTAGAGAAAAGTACCTCTAAAGTCATAAGTGTAAACACAAAATTAATCTATGTTAAATAATATATGGTTAAATTAATTATTTATTTATTAAGCCCAAGAAACTACTTAAAAAAAAAATTCTAAATATGGCATAGGAGCATGTGTAGATCTGTGAATATGCACAATTTTTCAAATTGTAAACTTCTCTCGCTGCCCCGTTTAAACCCCTCCATTAACCTGGGGGTTTGTGACAGGGTTCCAGGGGGCTCACGAGAGTGGAACTATAAATAAATATATAAACCTTATAAAACACTGAGAAAGTAATTTTGAAAAGTAGCTGGTGAATATTTTTACACCAAAAAAGCCCCGCATTCAGAAAAATGAACCCCTGCTTGATAGAAAACACACTCAAATAATTGTTTTTGCAAATTTTAGTGCAGAATTTTTATTTATTTCCTGAGTTTAACATATTGAAAAAAATGAAAACGGAAAATATAAAATGTACCATAAGTTTACTTTTTTTTCCAACATGTTAAATTCAGCAAATAAACAATAATTGTGCATTAAAATGTGCAGTAGTGTGTCATGACACTAGTTTTAGGTGTTAATGCTCAACACTGTGCTGTTCTCAGCTGGGCGATGGTGCCTTAATGATGCTGCTTAATGTTGGATACTCAACTTTTGAGTTGAGTATCTAACTCAAAAGTTGGGGGAATGTTTGATGTAAATTAATCAATTTTATGAAATATTTGTATGAGTGAGGCCTTCTTTCTTTCACTCATGCACACACTTATCTGTATTCCCTCCTTTTTCTCCTGCTTCATCTGTGCTCTTCTATCTTTTCCCGCTGTTTCTCTCTCTCTGTGAGTTAGTGTTCTCGTGGCATGCCTGAGCACTCTGCCTGTCATGTCCTGACACAGCACGATGCTGCTAGGTATGTGGAGTGTAGAGTGTTTGGGTAAAACACACACACACGCAATGCATTCCAGGCCTTTCCGCAAGATTTAGTAAGAAGTGCACTGGCAGCAGCTATAGGCACTTCCTGCATGGCTGTTAGTTCTGGTTAAAGAAACAGTTGCAGCTGTGTTTGGTAATTATTATAAGAGAGAGAGAGAGAGAGAGAGAGGCTATGGATATGCATGTGTGTGTGTGTAGTTTGTTGGGCAGATACCAAACACTCGAACAGGAACTGGATGGAGCTTTGGAATGTTTTGGAACCCAACAAGACTCCGCCCACCCAAATACACACACACACACACACACACACACACACACACACACTCTCAAGCCGTGTCTCAAAGCTAAGGACCTTCCTAGTGCTGGTATACGAAGGTTCCTTTTCAGTGTTCACTCATGCACTTTTGAGACGGCCTGATCAGGCTGTACTGTCAGCTTACTGACGTTAGCAGTGTGACGTTTAAACCTTCCATTTGAAAATGTTAGATTCAAATTGATACTTCATTATGTTTCATTACAGACTCGGGTGCTGCAGCATGTCTGATTTCACATCATTTCGTGTCTGTTTCTGCTGTTTTTTAAACTTATTTTGAGCTGTGTGTGAGGGATTGTGGGAGACTGACCGGCTGTGTCCTTCGATTTCTCACAAACAAGGACACATTTCTCAGCCGCATTCAGAGAATCCCACAAAACGAAGCAGCTTTCAGTGAGGTAAATCCTGGCTGCATCCTCAGCTACAGAGTTGTATTAATAGCTTTTCAGGACACATGCATTATAAAAGGGTGTTTCTACAGCTGAAGACACTTTTGGCTGGCCATAATTTTGGAAAATTGTCTGTAAAGTCTGCAATATAAACAGTGAACGATACAAAACTGCACATGTGATTTATATAATTTGAATCTGAAACTGTCTTTTCAGCAAATGCAATCTGATCTGAATTTGTCTTTGCAACACTCTTAGCTGCTGCAGTAATATTTTCACTGTTATTGAATATAAATGACAAATAGCATGTTTGAGTTACAGCTATGAAACAAATAATAAAAATTAAATTAACTAATCAGGAATAAGCACATTATTTTGTGCAGTTTATCGCATTTGTTTTTAGAAGTGTTGCTGTAAGAACTGTAAGAAATGTGGGACAGATATTTATAGGTAAAATGACATTTATAAATGTTTGTTTTGTTATGTTTAACATGCATACAATACAGTTTCAGTTGAAATGCAGTCATTTAGTAAGTTAGGAACTTATTATTTTGACCCAATATATTTTGGGTTATTTTGATTTCATATTTTTTTAGCCATGGCTTTGTATGTGAGAATGTGACACTAATGACACAAAAAAATATTTTCTGTGCCGTGTGCTAAAAATGTGCACATATGTCCAAAAATCCCCTGCAAGGACCTAAAAGTGCCTGTAGTTGCAGAAACGCCCATATTGCCACTGTTGAGAAAAAAACCTTGTATCTCCATTATTATTAGTAAAAAAAAAAAATAGGACATGAACATAATTAAAAAAAAATACCGGCTGCTCTTTTCATTGTATTAACATTTTATGATGAATGGACCAACAGAAACTCTCCAAAATTACTTGGGGAAAAATGTGGTTCCATTAACTACCATTCAAAGTTCAGGTTTCTTCGTTCCACTGTGAAGTTACCACTTTGGAGAGATTTTTGTCCTGACCGTAACGATATGTAAGTACCAAAGCCTAACCCTAATCTTAATCCCAGTAAGCGAAAACAAACAGTTTTGCTCTTTTAGTTTTGAAAATGAAACATAGAACTTTGGTGTGAAAGAACTTTACAAAGGAACATTTTGCTGCGAGAGTTGATCGGCTTAATTTACCTTTGTTTTTTCGTACACAGATTACTGTCCTGAAACTGTCAGAAAACACACACACACACACACACACACACACACACACACACACACACTAAAATCCTGTTAGAACTGCAGAATTCGAGGAAGGTTCTGGAGCTCATATCAGCTGTATTAATGAAGGCTGGATTATGTTTCTGGGCATCTCTCTTTTTTCAGACAAATCTCTGCTCTCTCTGCAGCTGTTCTAGGCCAGTACATGTCGAGGCCAAATATTTGAAGGAAGAGAAATTCTATTTTTGATACCTCATTTGAGTTTGTTAGTAGAAGAATGGAAAATTTGTCCTGTTTCAGATTTGCTGTTTAAAAGTTATGTTGTGGTTCTTGATGTGTGAGAATGAAAACATTTGTCACATGTGTTTGTCACTGGACCGAGCCCCAGCTGGACTGTGCTGCTGTATCTAATTGAAACAACAAATTTTCCACCATGCTAATGTTAGCTCAGATACATAACAAAAATATATCTGATCATATCAGTATGATGATAACATGTATAATCATAACAGTATGATTATTTACATGCAACATTATTTGAAATTAATAATGCATTATGAGTAATTGTGTGCTACAGTTTCTCATTATGTTTAAAGAGGTTTCTGCCAAACACTCTATAAAGCTTGTCCAGCCTTTTTTTTGTGGGTGAGACTGTATAAGTAACTTGCACCATACCATGTTCTTGTGTTGCAAGTAGCAAGGCTGATGTAATTATACACGCCCTCCTTCTCCTCCCTCCTCCTCCTCTCTCTTCCTCGTCCTTCTGATCCTCCAGTGGTCAGAATCACACCCTTCAGCCCTACCTGGCTTTCTGAAGACTATAAATTACAAAGAGTCCTCTATAAGCCTGAGAGCTTTAGGCCCAAAGTCTGGACCCACCTGTGTAAAAACAACATCACAGAGATCTGAACAGAGCTACAGTGGTGAGAGAGGGAGAGAGAAAGAGAGAGAGAGAGAGACAATAAGAATGAGACTGAGAGAGAGCAAGACAGACACAGAGAGAGAGAGAGAGAGGAACAGTGAGAGATGGGGAAAGAGAGAGACCTGGAGGGGTTAAGCAGAGAAAAGGGAGTCTGTGAGAAAGAGAGATGAGATGGAGAGAAAGAGATAAGAAAAAGAGAGAAAAGGGATGAGAAAGAGAGATGGGGAGAGAGGAAAATGGAAAAGCAGAAGAGAAAGATGGAGAGGGAAAATAGTGTGAGAGAGGAAAGAAGGATGGGGAAGCAAAGTAATGGAAGTGAAGAAGTAAAGGAAAAGAAGTGGAGAGAGGAGAGAGTGATCAGTATTCCGGAAATCTCAGGAATATCAGGAAATGGTGTAACATGAGTCATAGGCATCTCTCTCCCCCAACCTCTCTCTCTCTCTCTCTCTCTCTCTCTCTCTCTCTCTCTCTCTCTCGCTCTCTCTCTCTCTCTGACTACATTTAGTGCAACTGATCTATAACTGAGGAGTTTCATGGTTATTTGTGTTAGATAATGAGACAGATTTAGGTGGGTGGGTGACTGTCTGGTGGGTGTGAACAGATATTAATAATAGCTGTTGTAAGTGGAATAACAGTCAGCTTAAGTTTGAGCACCTGACACAATCTATTATGTTGTTGATTGATTATACAATATTTATTACTTACTTCAAAATACTCAACACACACACACATCAGTTTAATTCTGTGTTCATGGCTTTTATATATATATATATATTATATATATATATCAGGTGTTTAATCTTAAAAGAAAAGCACTGATCAAAGGAATGGGACACATCAGCTAGAGGGTATAAAGCCCCCCCCCCAGCATTGAGCAGTGGAGCTGCGTTCTCTGGAGTGATGGAGCTCCATCCAATACCTTTGGGATGCATTGGAGTGATCCAGAACTGATCATCCAACATCAGAACCTAACCTCTGGTTATACTGGCTGATAGGCTGATACTGCAGCAAAAGAGGAACAAACTCCCTGTTAATACCCTTAATTTCAGAAGAAACGCTGGACGAGCAGGTGTCACCAGACTTTTGGACATATAGAGCCGGTTTCCTAGACCCAGGTTAAGCCTTAGCCTAAACTATATAGAATTTTCAATGATAACTCACCGTTGGCACTTCAGTTTAATCCGTGACTGTGTTCAGTCCATTTCTGGGAGACCAGCCCACAGTGTTTTTAGAGACAGTGCTAACTGTGGTTGCTGAATTTGAATGTCAGCCGTCAAACAAGCACAACCAAACTAATGCAAAGTGCCAGAGTGCTGTTATATTTTTGTTTTTGTTTTTATTTTTTCCTGTCCTGACCTACAGAAGAATCCACAGTGGGAGAATAGTTTCCACAGAGCTGGCCAACTGACCCAGATGCTGAACTGATCTGATAATGTTTCCTTCTGTTTGGAGCTGTTCTAAATGGTTGTGTTGTGTTAGTGGTTTCAGCTGAGCTGTTTTGTGGTTTGTAATGGTCACACTCTAATCATTTCTTTTCTCTCCCCAGGCTCTGGCTCCACATCGGGCCTTTCTACTGTCCGCTCGAGTCCCTGCCAGGGTGAGTGGGCCTGTGTTTGTCTGTGACTTTCATAATCTAATCTATGGCAACAACAGCTGTAGCTTTAAGTGGGTCTCTGTGTGAAGGAGATGCTGGATCTCCAGACATGCTTCAGCCTGTTTACCACAAGATTCACAGCTCTCTCTCTCTCTGTCTCTCTCTCTCTCTCTCTCTCTCTGTCTCTCTCTCTCTCTCTCTCTCTCTCTCTCTCTCTCTCTCTCTTTATCTCTTTCTATCTTCCCCTTCTCTCACTCTTTCTCTTTTCCTGTCTTCTTAATTTCTCTCTTCCTTTCTTTGTCTCTTTTCTCTGTCTTTTCCTTTATTTATCTCTCTCTCTTTCTCTTAATCTCTCTTTTTCTATCTACCTCTCTCTTTTTGCTTCCTTTCTCATTCTCTCTCCCATTCTTTCTTAAAGTTTATCTCACTCACTCTCTCTTTTCCTGTCTTCTCAATTTCCCTCTTCCTTTCGTTGTCTCAGTCGCTTTTTCTTTATTTCTCAATGTCTCTCTCTCTCTCTCTCTCTCTCTCTCTCTCTCTCTCTCTCTCTCTCTCTCACACACACACACACTTAATCTCTATTTCTCAATCTCTCTCTCTCAGTCTTGCTCTCTTTCCTATTCCCTTCCTTTCTCATTCTCTCTCTTTTTTCTCAGTCTTCTGTTCTTTTCCAGTTCTTCTTAATTTCTCTCTCTCTCTTCCTTTCTTTGTCTCTTCTCTGTGTCTTTTCCTCCTTTATTTCTCAATGTCTCTCTCTCTCTGAAGTTATTCTTTATTTTCTCTTCTCTCCAGTTGTTTTCACAGCTGTACTTTGTGAGTGTTATTATGTCATCATTTCTAAGTTCTAATTGGTGGTTAATAATGTAGCTGAACACAGCTGATGTGTTTTTTCTGTTCAAAATATTGAGGAAACTGATACTGATCTAAATGTGAGTGCAGTGTGTGTGTATGTGTGTGTGTGTGTGTGGTGTGCTCAGAGCTTTTTCCCATGAGCTCACAGAAGGAGAAACAACACCAGATCTGAACAGCTGGACACACGCACACTCACACACACACACAGAAAGAGAGAGAGGCAGGAACAGTGCCTGCTGGTTTAGTTTGGCCTCCCATGTTCTGGCCCTCCTGTCAGCTCTCACTGTCTGTATGTGTGTATGTGGATCTGCATTCATTTGGGTCTCTGATGTGTCCAATATTATGCTTGTGTGCACTGAAATGTTCTTTCTGATTGTTAAAGAACATGATGACTACAGAAAAAGGGTACAGCACAAGAGTATTTTTGTTTACTATAAGGGATGTAATAATATACACACACACATACATACATACATACATACACTTTATAATTCTACAAATACAGACTGTAGTCCATCTCTTTCTTTGCATCCTTTGTTAGCCCCCTTTTACACTGTTCTTCACTGGGCAGGAGCCCCACAGGACCACCACATGGCAGGTATTATTTGGGTGGTGGGTCATTCTCAGCACTGCAGTGACACTGACATGGTAGTGGTGTGTTAGCGTGTGTTGTGCTACACAAACTGTGCAGCAACAGATTAGCTGTCGTCTCTGACTTTACATCTACAAGGTGGGCCAGCACGGTAGATGTGTCTACTAGAGTGGACAGTGAGTGGACACAGTGTTTGAAAACACCAGCAGCACTGCTGTGTCTGATCCACTCATTCCAGCTCAACACACACCAACACACCACCACCACGTCAGTGTTACTGCAGTGCTGAGAATGATCCACCACCCAAATAATACCTGCTCTGTGGTGGGGGTCCTAACCATTGCAGAACATGGTGAAAGGGAGTTAATATAAAATTATATCGGGCAAGATGATCGGCTATCAGAATTTCTAGTCCCCTTTGGAGGTAGATGATATGGCAAAAATCTAATATCAAGAAATTTTCACGATACTCGATATGTCATATTTATTTTTTCTGACATCTGATCAGTTAGAACAGAGAAAAAAAGAACCAGTAGTGCTACATTTGAAAAAATACTATAAAAAACTCAAAACGCATTAATTTTTGCACTAAATCCAGTTAAAATTTTGCTCTCTTTATAATGAAACACTCAGTTGGTCAGTGTTTTACAAGTAGTGACTATATGCATGATATGTCTCAAAAAGCATATTGTGTCATGACATAATTTATCATGATAATGATATGTAGTGTCATATTGTTTAGCCCTAATCTCCTTAAAATTGGGATAGACAAAATGTACCAACAAAACAGCCGTACCAGTTTTAAAAATCCAATGAAAAAACAATCAGTTCTTCAAGTAGACTGTCTGACATGCTCACAATATGCTTATCATAACAGTTGATCATGACTACAATATCACATCATCATATCGCTCAGCCCTAAAGCTGACACTTCAGTGCAGCGATTCTTAGTCCATGTGTTAGAGATCCATACTCTGTATATCTTGGTGTTGTCCCCACATCAGCTGACTTTATTCACTTCGTCAGATCATTAATCAAGCCAAGTGTAAAAACTCCTGGGGTTTCTGGGGTCCTGGGGTTTTAAAAGTACTCATCTAACACTCTTGTTTCTTCCAGATAGAACAAACCTTCAATTTCTTTGACATTCAAGCCGTCAGCAGCAGCAAGCCAAACCAGGTGTGTTTGTCTTTATCTCCTAACACCTTAAACTGCAGACTTCTGAAATATTAAACTTGTTATTAGGCTTGTAATACTGTTATAAATAAATATGTAGTTATGAATGTAAGGAGCTGATGTGTAAATACAAGCAGATCCTTAGGCTGTTTTTTTACATGGTGAAACTTTTATACAACTTTAATTGCTTAGAACTTCCATAAACCTACATTTCTCTTGTAAAAACTGCTGCAACTCATTTGAAACACACACACACACACTCTCACACACACACAGAAAGAGAGAGAGAGGCAGGAACAGTGCCTGCTGGTTTAGTTTGGCCTCCCATGTTCTGGCCCTCCTGTCAGCTCTCACTTTCTGTATGTGTGTATGTGGATCTACATTCATTTGGTTCTCTGGTGTGTCCAGTATTATGCTTGTGTGCACTGAAATGTTCTTTTTGATTGTTAAAGAACATGATGACTACAGAAAAAGGGTACAGCACAAGAGTATTTTTGTTTACTGTAAGCTTATAGTAAAGCATATTGCATAAGCTTCTCTTGTAAAAACTGCTGCAACTCATTTGAAACTTCTTTGAAACTCAGCTGCAACTGCCCCTACTCTGTGAAACAAGTTGCATAAAACAGACAATCAAAACACTGATAACGTACCACAGAGAAGTCCAGAGGATTTCTGGGGACTAAAAAATATTTGTCTATTTTATTTTTTATATATTTTTTTATTTTTATAGTTTCATGAATTTTTATTCCATAGAATCATTGTGCTGTATTTCAGAGCTTAACATTATTTTCTTTGTTAAGTTTTGGTTGGAAAAGGAAGTCCAGAATTTTTTCTAGGTAGAAACAGCCAAGCTCACTCTACCATTATTTAGGACTTCAGGAGCTGGACTAGGTTAGCACTGGGTTAGCGCTAACACTATTAGAAATCTAATAGAAATAAGCATTATTGTAGAGGTGAGTTTTTTTCTTTTCTTTGTTTTTCCTTGACCTTTATGACCTGAACTGAAAGCTTAGCTCTAACAGTCACAGTTCACCACTGTATAATCGTGCTTACTAGTGAATAATCAAATATGTTGCAAATGACTGTGATTATTTTTTAATCGCTTTGTGTAGCTCTCAATTTCTGTGGAAATGGTGTTTCATGCAACTCAGTCTGCAGCTAGCTGAATAAGAGCTTCAGCATTTATGAGCCAGTCTTATAGTTTAAAGGGTTAATGTTTCTTTAGACAGGTGAGAAAACTGACCTCATATAAGATCCCATATCAGAACTACAGATATTAAACTCAGCTGAGTGTGGTGGGATGTGCGTACTGATGTTAAGATGCCATTTAGAAGCTCTGTATGTTGTGTCTGTGTCTGTATGCAGTTGGTCGTGGAGTATGATAAAGGCCAGCTGTGTCTGAAGCTCAGCTCCAATGAGGAGGCTGATGAAGTCATCGCTCAGATTGGGAGCAGCATACAGGAACACTGTCCAGGACTAAACCCAGTGTACGTCTGTCTGTCTGTGTCTGTCTGTGTATTCATCTGTATTTTTAGACACTCTGTTTCCTCCTTCATGTTAAACATTAAACTAAAAGAGTGTGTGTGTTGTAGGAGGGTGATGAAGAGACTATCTCTAAAACCAGCAGAGAGGGTGGCCGGTCTGCAGACACTGTGGGACAAAAACACACCTACTGACACTGGACCCTGTGGTACTGGACCCTGTCTGTCTGTCTTTCTGTATGTCTGTCTGTCTAGCTGTCTGTTTACAGTACAGTACAAAAGCCATTATCACCCTTCATTGATTCATTTTCTAGTGAAAACAGCCGTTAGGTACAGATTATTTGTCCACTCTTTGCCTTCATTACATTTTCCATTCCTTTTAGGAGACTCACTTTCAGTTTTCCACACCTCCAAAGTTCAGTCTTAAGGTGTTTTCACATTTAGTTCTTTTTAAATGAAGCAAACTGAGTTCTGTTAAAGTGAACCTAAAAAGGAAACCAACTGCCAATGACCTCAGTTCTTTTTGTGTTCACAATGCAAGTGAACTATAAAGAGGACTCAGTTTTCTTTATGGTCCTTTGAGATCTCCGACCACTTCTTGTTCAGACCACAACTCCATTAGAACTCAGACCCCTTTCACACCACACATCACAAAGTAGAACCTTATAAATGACCCTTGGTGGTCTGTTTTTAGCTGCTGAAGTGCTGAAAGACTGTGGCTGTGCGTATGATACGCCTTGAGATATTCACCATAAAGCAAAGCAAAAGTGGTTTGGGGCTGTTTTGTTTTCACAATGCACAAATCAATTGAACCACAAAACAAACTACAAATGAACTCCAGGTGGTCTAATTTTGGTTTGTTTTTGGGGCCGTTAAGAGGGGTCTAAACGTTTGGCATGTTCACATATGCACAGAAAACCATGACTCAGGTTTCTCACGATCCTAATAATCTCAAACACATTCAGTGATGTTGAGGTCTGGACTCTGGGATGGTCAGTCCATTGTTCCTGAATACCAGCAGCTTATTTGTTTGGTGTGTCTCCTTTTCTCAGTAAGAGCTTCTTGACAGCCACACATCCTTTTAGACTCATAGTGCTGAGTTGTCTTTCTCTCTCTCTCTCTCTCTCTGTCTCTCTCTCTGCAGGTGCTTTCTCTCGCATGTATTGGTGTGTGTGTGATCAGTTGGGTCTTCCCTACAGAGAAGAGGTGCAGTGGGTATGTATAACTTCTCTTTCTTTCTCTCTTTCTCTCTCCCATTCCTCTTTGGTCCCTTACTCCATTCTTCTGTCTCCAGGACGTGGACACTATTTACCTAACCCAGGACACACGAGAGCTAAACCTGCAAGACTTTATACACCTGGAGAACAGGTAACACCTGCCAACAGTGGCTTGGGGTGTGTGTGTGTGAGTTTAGGTTTGTGCATATATAAACGAGAACCAAGATTTTAAAAATGTTTGAATCCACATGAACAATTTGTAATAACTTGCTATATTAAAAAGGTTTGTTTAGAGGGAAACAATTTCACAAGGGTAAATATCAGTGATGGAAATGGGCTGGAATGCACCAGAACCCTGTTCTAAGAGTAAAAGTCGGGATGAAACGGCGTTCCGGCTCAAATGTTTTGATGATGTTGAAAGCGTGTGTAGTTATTTAATTTTGTTCCAAAGTGTGTTCGTGAAACTGATCTGTTGAAAAGTATCATCCACTGAATGCACCCTAAATTCAGCCTACAGCCCCTTTCAGACAATGGAAAGTCACGCTGCAGCAGGCCCTCCCACCCAGTCTCTGTGGTAATGCATGGTGGCACACGGGGTGTATTTGGAATTTGAAAGTAGTCAAGAAACTCCACAGTCGGTAATAAAAGTGGTGGATGGCTTTCTAATTTCCCCAAACCTCGATGGCTTTCATTTGCATATCTAGTTTATTTGATGCAATTGATATTTTTAGCAATTTGTTGTTTTTTTTTTCTTTTTTTTTATGTCAGACATTTCTGTCACTGAGCTCAGTTTAAAATGTCCATAATAAAGTAATGAAGCACATAAGCCAAAGCGACTTAAGTGGAAAGTACTTTGATTTCTTTATTACAATCATTCAAAAAGACTGTTGTTGGCAACGTATTCTCTGGTTTTGTTCTTTCAGCTTTAAGGAAAAAAGCTTAGAGACCCCTGATCAAAGTAGTAATGTTAAGCTTCTAAGAATAAACTAATAACTAATGAGCATTCAAACCTTTCAGGCTTTCAGGTGGGGGTGGGCAATATGATTATGTTGTATCGCTATCGTGATAAATTCTGTCACAATACACTTTTCTAAGCATATCATGGACATTGACAGTACTTGGACATTGACAGTATCTACATATTTCATATTTCATCATTACAAAGTGAGCATAATTAGACCTGTTTAACTGGATTTAGTTCAGTGCAGTTTGTAAAACATTACAGTAAACATTGAAGTTGTAGGTTTATTTTTAGTAGTTGTACTTTAATTATTATTCTATTATTATTCTATTTTGTCTATGCCAGTTTATCAAATCTCAGACAAAGTAAAAGTCGTGATGCATATTGTGTTTCGTGAAAATGTTTTTAACCCCATAAAGGGCCAGGGCGCACCTCTCTTCTCTGTTGTGATTTAAATAATGTGATTTCTCAGAGCTGTTATTGCATTTTTTTGATAAACATGATCTAACCATGCTCCAAATCCATAGGATTTTATTTAGTTTGTGCCGTAAACTACCTTTTTAACAGCTAAACGTATGATAAGTAGTGTACAGTCAAAAGTTTGGGCGCTGCTGGTAAAGTGACAAGTTTTGTTGATTTGAAGTGAAAATGAACATATTCTCCATAGAGAACACTTCTGCACATTTTAATGTACAATTACATTATTTTATTTCTTTATTGGCTAAATTTAACATAGTGGGAAACATTTAAACATGTGGCCTGTGCAAAAGTTATGCCAAGTTTTATATTTTATGTTTAGCAAATAAAGCAAATAAATAGAAACTGTGAAATAAAGTCATATTTACATGTGTTCTCTGTAGAGAATGTGTTCATTTATTTTTACTTAGAAAATCAACGTTGGACTGGAGTATTCAAAATTTTACATACAACTGTAAATCATACATCAGATGCATTTTGTTGTTGCTCTGATTAAAGAAAACAATAAGCATTTACTGATCTCAGCTGTGCCCTGTATGAGGTCATGTATGCACTCTGAAAAAATCCCATCCAACAAGAAAGGAAGCTTTGTGCATATATTAAATAGTGTAGCTCAGGTTCCACATGCTGCTCCATTTCACTGAAGCGGACACGCACACACAGATTTTAATAAATACATGGAAACATCGCCAAAGTCTCTGATTGCAGGATGCTGGGTTGGACAGGGTTAAATTACCACTGGGGGAAAAAAAAGTTTCTTCGTACAAAGGAAGACACTTTGAAAAACCCGAAGGTGAAAGTACATGATGAATATACTCAAAGTTATGTTAACTGAACTTTTGAAGGTATTTTATCTTATTTCATTAATTGAGTCAGATATGTGTACCTCTATTTATGTATCCTACCAGGAGCGACAGCACCATCAGCATCATACTGTCCAACTGACCCAACTCACTCTGAATTGTGTACAGATCATGTGTAATGTCTCATATCCATAGATGATGATGATGATGAGGATGTTTGTATGTTTCATTCTTTGCTCAGGGATCTGATGGCCATTGTGGCTGTGCTGGAATACAACCAGTGGTTCACCAAACTCTCCCTGAAGGATTATAAACTGGTACGTCTCACTTCTCTCGCAGTGTCTGCTTTTTGTAAATGTTGTTGTGGAAACTTTAACGGTGGGAGGAGGAAAGACGCCGGGGGCAGGTGTGAAGACGGAGAGCTCTTTTATTCACTTATACACAACGCAAAAAAAATACTCGGCTTTTCAGCCCACAGAGTAAGACAAGACGCTCGCTGGGACTTTTCAGTGCTTTCTTTCCACTTCTTATCAGATCAGATCAGCTCAGCTCAGCTCAGCTCAGCTCAGCTCTCACGCCTTCAGTGGTCTCCCTTACTCTCTGGGCTCTGCCGCCTACTGAAGGAAGAGATTGCCTATAAGTAGGCTGGCAGAAACAAGGCACAGGTGAACATTATCAGCTACTTAGCCCGCTGGATCAGCCAGACCAGCTTCTCCGTCCCGCATTCGATGCTCGGCCATGCCCCCTTGTCCACAGTTGTATTTTTGTACTGATGTATACTTTGTGTGTGTGTAGCCTACAGATTTGTGTGATCAGATCTTGAGAGTAGTGGCTCGTTCTAGCAGGCTGGAGGAGCTGGTTCTGGAAAACACAGGACTCAAAGCGTAAGCAAAGCACACTCACTCACTCCCAACACGCATATCTTTGCTGTCACGCAGCAACCTAGTATATCCATTTTCATTTTTTTTACTGTTTTGCATAATGTGAAAACTATAGTTACCCTTTTGCATTGTGCTAAAATTTTATGATAATAAAAATGTTTCAAAATTACTTGTAAATAAAGTTTGTTATATCAACCTCCATTACAATGTTCTGACGTTTTTTCCATCTCCTGCAAAGTTACAGTTTTGCAGATATGGGTTTTGGTCTGACAACAGCTGTATGCACACATACATTCAGACCGTGCATGTCTCCTTCATTAGTTCTGTCTGTTCATAAGTAATATCTATCATCATGGTGCTGATCTGATACCTGGTATTTGCTTTCAGGTCAGTATCAGAGGAAAATGCAGGATCAGATGTTGGAGGGGGAAAAAAAAGGATTGAATCTGATCTGATCCTGTAGCAAACCTTTCCTGAGATAGCACTCCATAACACTGTGATGTGATATTGTTAGTTGTGAAGTTCTTCCTGTAAGACAGTACAGTGATGGAGTAGTTTAATCATGATAGCCTGCTTTCAGATGCTCATATTAAATAAGTGCTTCAATTTAAAAAATTACAAAAGAGTTTTTTAAAGAAAAACTATTGGATCAGTATTGGTAATGGCCAAAACTCAAGGTTTCAGTATCAGTGCCATAAAAGAAAACATAGTGTCTTATCTTAATATGTATGAGTTTTTTTAGTGATTTTGCACAGAAGTTGGCCAACGCTCTGAGCCAGAACCCACACTCAGCTCTACACACACTCAACCTGGCCAATAACTCCTTGGAGGACAAAGGTACATTGGTGGTTGGTGGTGGTGCTGGTGATGGTGGTGGTAATAGTTACAATTGTGATGATGGTGGTTATGATGATAATGATGATGGTGATGATGATTATAATGTGTTTAACAGACCTAGCATTTCTGTGCTCACTGGGAAAATTTGATGGTGATGATGACAGTAATAGTGATGATGATGATGATGGTTATAAATATGATGGTGATTAAGACTGTAATAGTGATGATGAAGATGATGATAACGATGGGGAGGATGATGGTAATGGTAGTGGTGTTGATGGGAATGGTGATGATGTTGATGTTGATAATGATGCTGATGATGGTGATGGGACTGGTGAAGTGTTGATTATTGTAATGATGGTGGTTATGATGATGAGGGTTATGGTACTGAGATGTGATGATATATTTCTCAGGATTATCGTCTCTGAGCTCTCCACTGGGAAAACTTACATCTGGTCTGAAGCATCTAAACCTCTCAAAAAACTCCCTCTCAACTAAAGGTATATATTACACACTTCCTTGAAGTTTATAGTTTCACAGCTTGGACTGTGAATGTCGTTTCATCTCCCCTGATGAGACGTCTCAGTGAATGAAAGCTGCGGTCACGCTTTATGTGACTTATGTAACTACAAATGATTTAGTCACTGTTACAGATGGATTACAGAAGTATACCTTATGTAATTACACATGTGTATTAACTTCAGTTTTGCCTCATGTAATTACACTAGTGTATCTTAATAGTTGTAACAGTCTATTCTCTTATGTAATTGCACGGTATCTGCCAGCTTTCCTAACATTTAGCTAGCATTTATGTTGTTAGTGCTGTGACATTGTAACCAGTTTCAACCTTAAACCATTCTGTGTGTATATGTGAGAGTACAGCAGATGTCTCCTTATCTTAAAACGTAACTTTTATAACATTAAATAAATGTGTTGTATTACCTCCAAAGCAATGTCTATATTACCACTCCATTATTACACAGTACCTACATAAGAAGCTACACAGTAACTGTCCACTTATTTTAAAGTGTAACTTTAACACTACACTACAGGAAAGTTCCCGTGTAGAAGATACACTTGTGTAATTACATGAGGCAAAACTGGAGTTCATACACGTGTAATTACATAGGCTGTACTGCTGTAATATATCTGAAACATTGACTAAATCATTTGTAGTTACAGTGTTGTAGCATATCGCTGCTGTCGGAACAAAACCTCATATCTCCAAAATGGTAACTTTACAGGAGAAGGAAAAAACATACATTACTTTCAATGTAAGTCAATGGAAACAGACTTTTTTCCAAGTCATTTTTGGCTTTTTATTTTGGTCCATCCTTTATGAAATTATATAAAGGCCAACATGCATTTTCAAATTTTGTCAAAAACTGAAAATCGACAAAAATAGAGATACAAGGTTTTGTTCCGACAACAGCGATATAGTATTCATGTGTAACTACACAGTTATTAGAGACAATATAAAGTCGGACCAAAGCTGCTGAATATTTGCATGCTTGTATCTGGAATATTCTGCACAAGAGGCTCTGCACTGAAATTTCTGAACACTAGTGCAAAGTATTTACACCTTGAATTTGATTACATTTAGTACTAGGCAATATATCACTATACCAGCATACCATGATGTTGACATAGTGTGCTTTTTGTTTTATTAGTCATATTTAAATCATATATATTAGATAATTATGATTCTGTTTTAGTAATTGTGTTTATGAAAAAATCATGGTGTCCCTCTTGCCAAGTGGTTTGTTTTTATTTTATTTTGTGTGCTTCACTTGACGTTTAACTGAAATCGATGTCATTTGAGATTTTACAGCTTTAGATTCTTAACAAAAAAATAGATAGCAGACATGGGCTCATCTGGGAACTGTAGTCTGATGCCAGTATCCAGTTTCTTTCATGCACACATCTGCCGATGCGAAATGTAGAAACTGGCTCTACATCTACTTTACAGAGAAATATAACAATTTCTGTAGGGTTACAAATGCAGTGAAATGCAGGCACTTTAGCACAGTAGCCCAGTGTCACCTACATCTATCTGGTGCCCATATTATTGTGATTCTGTTATCATCATTCATCCCTAAAAGTTTTGAATAGCAGCACTTACAAAACATGAGTTAACGATCACTTGATACTGTGATGCTGTTACATATTTGGAGAAGATTATGATAATGAATTTTATTACTATCACCTGTTCGCTGCACTGTTCGGTGTCTGTTTGTTTCTCAGGTGTGAATATTCTGGCTCAGGCTCTGTGCGCTAACTCTTCTGTCTCCAACACACTCACACACCTTGACTTGTCTGGGAACACGCTGAGAGGAGATGACCTGCCTGTATGTAAAAACACACACAGTCTCTGTCTCTGTTGTTGATTTGTGTTTTGAAGCAGTACATTTTTCTCTCTGTAGAATCTGTGGAATTTCCTGGGTCAGCCAAATAGCCTGCAGACTCTGGACCTGTCCAACTGTGACTGCTCCCTCGACCTGGTCAGCACGTCCACATCTCTTACCAGCTAAACGTATTCTGATTCAGAAAAAAAAATCTAGGACAGAGGATATGGGCTCTGTGTCTAAATCTTACTCAAGCTGATCATGTCTGGCTAGTTGCATTTTAGCAAAATATAGATAATCATAAAATTCAAGAACACTCAAACGAGGGTAAATGTAAGTTTAGAGTTATGCAATTAACAGACACTCTACAGATATAGCTGGATGTAGCATTCGGAGTCTTGCTTAAGGACTCCTATTGCTCTAGTGTGGTGTTCTTGCCTAAGTGCAGAATTGAACCCCTGTCTGCCGCAATAAGGGCAGTGGGACTACTACTACTAAGGCACCTACTACGCAATACCAACTGCAGATCCCTCAACTCTGGTGGGACTCAAACCCACAATCTTTGAATAACACCTTGTGCAGTGAAAGGGGTTTATACCCTGTTATTTCTAGGATTTGGACCCACAACCTTCCAGTTGCTGGCTCACCTCTCCCACCACTTGGCATTTAATATATTAAAAAAATAATACACCATAAAATGTCACCTGTGCAAAAGTTGTGGCACAATATGTTAAACGCAGGAAATAACTATAAACTGTACACTAAAATTAGCGGAAAATTTAATATCCTGTTCTCTGGATATTATTTGTTAACATATTTTTCACTTCATAGAAAATTAACAAAACATATTATTTGACCAGTGGTGCATGAAAGTATGTGCACCAATGGTTGGAGAAAACACTTATGAATATAAGACAGAGAAGCTGACATACCAAGTTAAACACTGAATTCCATTGAATATGTGAAGAAGAGCTAATATATTCAAATTAAAATGTTGCTTAATTGTTTTTTAACACTGAGTATGTTTTAATTTCAGGTGTGCTCGTCATTACTGCGAGGCTCTTTAAAGCACCTTTCTGTTCTCAACATGTCCAAGAGTGTCTTCAATCTCAAGTAAGAATCACACTCATATTATATTATATTATACTATATTATATTATATTATATTATATTATATGATATTATATTATTGAATGGCATTGAAATTGAATACTACACTCTACACTGGCCATTTTATCAGATTCACTTTGTAGTTCTATAACTACAGACTGTAGTCCATCTGTTTCTCTGCATACTTTGTTAGCCCCTTTTACCCTGTTCTTCAGTGGTCAGGACCCCCATGGACCCTCACAGAGCAGGTATTATTTGGATAGTGAATTATTCTCAGCACTGCAGTAACACTGATGTGGTGGTGGTGTGTGTTGTGATGAAGGACTAGAGGATGACCAACACTAACTGTGTAGCAGCAGATGATCTATCGTCTCTGACTTTACATCTACAAGGTGGACCAACAAGGAGTGTCTAATAGAGTGGACAGTGAGTGGACACTGCTGTGTCTCATCCACTCGTACCAGCGCAACACAAACTAACACTCCACCACCACGTCAGTGCCACTGCACTACTGAGAATGACCCACCACCCAAATAATACCTGCTCTGTGGTGGTCCTGTGGGGGTCCTGACCAGTGAAGAGCAGGGTAAAAGTGGGCTAACAAGTATGCAGAGAAGCAGATGGACTACAGTCTGTAATTGTAGAACTACACAGTGCTCCTCTATGGTAAGTGAAGCTGATAAAATGGAGAAAGTGTGTAGAAACAAGGAGAAATACTTCATGAAGTGGCCAGTCAGAGTATATTATATTATATCATCGCTATATTGTGAATAATGCTGCCAATATTAGAGAAAAAAATGTGTTTTCTTTCAGCATCAACTATTATTCTTTTCTGTATCTCATTAACTCCAAAATTGTCACAAATAGATCTACAGCATTCTGGATTGAAACTTCATATGTTTATGTCTCTTTATCAGCGTCTCTGAAGTTTTAAGTTTAATTTCTTGTCCTGGGATACTCAACTCTAAACGTTTTATATTGAAGGCCAAAAAGAAAGAATAACAGCCAGACACGTGCACACACTCTGCTCTACTCAGTGAACAACCGAAAACCAACGACGGAAATGAAAACAGAAAGATGCTGATACCGCATTTTACTCTTTTTCTCTTTTGTCTCCTTTGCGCCCCCTGTAGGAAAGGGAAGGAGTTACCATCTTCCTTCAAGCAATTCTTTAACAGTGCACAGGCCCTCAACACCATCATCCTCTCGGGCACCAGGCTGCCACTAGAGGCCCTTAAGTGAGTTACAGCTAAAACTTCAGAATTCAGTTTTTTTTCCAGACACAGGTTAAAGGCATGTCAAACTGGGGACCTTTCAGGCCAAAATGCTACAGAGATTAGCGTTTACCCTCATCTAACACTCTGAGTTCAGTTCATGAAGGCCTTGCTAATTAGCTGACGAGCTGAATCAGGAGTGCTTGTTGAGGCAGTGTGCTGAAGTCTACAGTACTTTGGCCCACAAGAACGGGAGCCTGATATATGTGGGTTAAAGAAACAATTGAACCCATAATGCAAATGAGCCTAATAATATAAACACTATGGATGGATGTTACCTTTGGTCCCAGATTAAAATACATTTACAGTATATTTACAGACAGTCTAATTTTTATCTGCTTGTGCTGTGTTTTTATATGAATCTCTTTAGGATTTTGACTCCAGTATTTCCTAGAACATTTAAGGTACATGCAATTCCATGCAAAGTTTCAAATTACATGTTTTGTTGATTTTCCAAGTGAAAATAGGTAAACACATCCGCTACACTTGAATAACACTTTTCTGCTAATTGTACTTCACAATTTCTATTTATCTGCTGAGTTTAAAATATAACATGTTATAACTTTTGCACAGGCCACATTTATTTGTTAATTTCAGCAAATAAACAGTAACTGTGCATTAAAATGTGCAGAGGTGTGTTCTCTGTAGAGGATGTGTGAACTTATTTTCACTTAGAAAATCAGAAAAATATGTTATTTGACCAGAGGCACCCAAACTTTTGCATATGACTGTATATACTGTCAGGTCTGTGAAGGTGTTTCATCATCCAAGGAATACCAAGGAAAGCTCCCACTACTGCTCTGAACTCAGGAAGCCAACAGACCTCATCATGATGTACTGCTGTTAACACATTCATTTTCAGTAATGCAGTCTGTTGTCTGGGTCATGACGCATTGTTTGAGCAGTCCACTGATTATGCTGCTGGTTCAACACAAGCATAGAAATCTTTCAGTGGTTTTGCAGAAGCTCCTGCTGTTCCTGCTGCACAACATTAAGCAAACCATTGAGCCATTGCTTCACTTGCTTTTCTCCTTTTTTGTTTTTAATATTTTATACTAATGTTAAAACCTTATCCTCTGTTCATTTTGCTCTTGTGTTATTGTTTTCCTTTCCGGTGTTGACCAGAGGAGGATGTGTTCCCCTTTTTAGTCTTGGTCCCTTTTAAAGTTTTTTCCTTGCCACTGTCGCCACTGGCGATGCTCATGGAGGCTCGGATCTGGATTTTTGTGTAAAGCTGCTTTGTGACAACGCCTGCTGTAAAAAGCACTATGTAAATAAACTTTCACGTCACTTGAGCACAGCTCACTTTTCACCTATGATAACACACCTGACATTTGGTCTGGATGTGTAACCAAAGTTTGAGGAGAGTACACGTACATGAGCCTGAGTTCCTGAGTACCAGCTAATCACATATCATAATAATATATATATGCTGCTCAGTTTCCCTGGAGTTGAAGGATCGTTGCTGGATAATTATCATTTACACTTGAAACTGAAACAGCACAGAGCATATCTGCTTATCAGACACATGCGGTTTTCCCCATTGGTTCGGTTATTAATCATTACACAGCAAACGGTCATGAAGCGCCATATTGGTTCAAACACATTTCCGACTTTTAACTTAGACTTTATACTGAAATCATTTTGCTTTGAGTGACCCTATACCTTAATCATGTTTATAATTGATCATCTCCTTTTGTCACTCACAAAACAATCATAACAATACTAAACTTTACCAAATGTTTCGGTAGTGACAGTTTTAACTAATTTTGAGCAGAACTCAAAAATGCTAGCCAGTACATGAATAGCAAACATAGCTTTGAATAGCTGTGCACACACAAAACCCTAATATTAATCATAAATACAACTTAAAAAAATACTTTTAAAAAAACTATCTATCTATCCATCTATAATGTTTTTGACATAATTTAAAAATGCCTGTTTTCCTTTACATTGTGTGTAAATTTCATGATTAATGGAATTCTGGTTCCACTGATTCACAATAAAAGTAGATTATCTTTTTCCTTCTCCTGTGAAGTTACCATATTGGAGATATAAGCTTTTGTTTTAACAGCAGTTACAAATGTGTGTGTGTGTGTGTATATATATATATATATATATATATATATATATACACACAAATACATATACGCATATGTGTGTGTATTTTGTTTCAGAGCTCTGTTACTGGGTCTGGCCAGCAACCCTAACCTGAAAGACATTTCTTTGGATCTGAGCAGCTGTGAGGTACAATCACATTTAGAGAAACACTGGAGTTTTTTGTGTAACTCTCGGAAAAGCTTAATTTTCTAACGACGGAGTCTGTTCAGAGGAAGTTACTGCAACCACAGATTTCCTCACATGACTTCACAGGAAGTTAACAACGCTGGGTGGAACACCTTAAACCAGCCAAAATACATTGGTTTTGAAACCGCAAAAACTCCCACTATAGACATATCCATTAAAGTCCTAGCTCTCAGTTAGTTTTTATAGTGTTTTTTGTCAGTGCTGGGAAGCTTTAGGTCTTTTCTCATGTGGGGTGTGGTTGGCACTGACTAGTTATATGTAACAGATCATCCTTCAGGGCAAAATCTGTATACCATTGAAAGAAATACTTGTATGACTCAGACCCAGTCATGAAAATAAGTGTTACATTAAAATGAAATAAAATGAAAATGTATAAGTTTTTGAGCTAATATCTCTCAGAAATATGAAACAGTCTTGTGTGTGGATCTGTGTGTATAGCTGCGATCGGCTGGATCCCAGATTCTGGAGGGCTGTATAGCTGAGATACCCAACATCTCCAGCCTGGACATATCGGACAACGGTCAGACACACATACGCACACACACTTTTCTTTGTACTAGTTTTTATGTCTTTTTCCATCACACCTACTCCAGACTTACTAATAAAATGTAGACCATTACAATTGTATGCGAAAGTTTCAACACCCCTAGTTAAATTACATAGTTTGTTGATTTTCTAAGTGAATATCTAATCTGTTGATTTCTAAGTTAAATATCCTCTTAAAAGAACTCAGTGGCATTTTCAGCTAAATTTAGTGCACACTTAAGTTTAACATACTGGAAAAGTAGAACATAAAACATAAAACATGCCAAAACCTTTGCCCAGGCCACATTTTATGATTTGTTTTTCCCCAATATATTAAATATAGCAAATAAACAGTAGTTGTGTTCTCTGTAGAGGATGTGTTCTTTTACATGTCATTTGATCAGGAGTGCCCAAACTTTGAACTTTACATGTGGACTGTACATACATACATATCATTAAATGCTGATGTTCTTTGTCTTTGCAGGTCTGGACTCTGATCTGACCACTCTGCTGGTGTGGCTGGCCAAAAACCGCTCCATCAGACATCTGTCTCTGGGCAAGAATTTCAGCAACATCAAATCCAAGTGAGAGTTGTTTTCAGTGTTGGCTTCTTATTGCAGCAGAGTAGCTGGAGTGGGATGACCCAAGGGCCACTGGAGGTCACTCTTGGAGAGCAGCAGCATTGTGCCGGTGTCCGGCTTGGTTCCAATGATATCTTCAAACCCTAGCTATTACTCTTCTTTTGCTTTATTGCACATTCTGTGTTGTGCCTTTGGAGTGATCTTGGCTGAGCACCCATTTCTAGGGAAAGCAGACACAGCACTGCACTGTCTTCATTTATAGACAGCTTGTCTGTAGACTGATGAAGACCTAAACTCTTTGAGATTACTTTGTAACCCTCTCCAGCTTTATGCAAATCAACCTTTATTGATCATAGGTTTTCTGAGATCTCTTTTTTTGCTAGGCATGGTTCACATCAGCAGATGCTTCTTTTGAATAGCAAATTCAAAATTTGAGTGTTTGTGTTTTTTTTATAGGTCAGAGTAGCTCTAACCCACCATGGGAGTCCACAGGTTTAAACTGTTGAATTTTAATTTTGATTGCACACAGGAATCTAGGACAGGTCCTGAGCAGTTTGGTCCTTATGATCCAGGAGGAGGAGTCGGTGAGTGAATATTTGTTTATATATCAGACTGGGCTTCACTTTCTCAGATTTCTGCCTTTACTTCATCACATACGTTAAAAATAATCTATGTGTACATTAATAGTATTAAAGCCAGGAGTTAATGCAGGTCACATGCAGGTTAGTGCAGGTGTGTCTCTTAAAAGTAGGCCCTATGAATAGCTTTCCAATGCACTAGATAATTATCCTCTATTGTTGTAAACTAGGCAGAGCACTTAATGACCAGACTACCCTCTTAAAATTGTTCTTCAAGGGTTCTTTAGTAAATGAAATGGTTCTATATAGAATCATGAACACTCAAGGAACCCTTAACTTGATTAAAGGACTCTTTGCATCATGAATCTTTGCACATCCTTCAGATTGATGAGGAATGTGCATAGATGGTTCTGTATAGTACCTTTTTGAAAAGGGTTCTGCTATTGTTACAGTGTCAAGCTTGTAATAATCGAGGAAGCCTTTTTGGTGCTGTATAGAACCCTTTTCAAAAAGATTCTATATAGACAGCACATTCTCCATCAGTCTGAAGAATCTTTTCGCAATGCAAAGAACCATTTAATCATGCAAAGAGCAAAAGTATGTTTCAGCATTGTGCAAAATAAAAATAATGAAATACTAAAGCTACTCACATCTACTCACAAGCACATTTTTGCACACCGCAGGCTGAACAAGGAAACACAGTGTCAATGATATGAAGCACTGCTCTCCTGAAGCATCAAAAGCTACTCTATTTGACTGCTAATAGTGCCCCCTTGTGGAAAATTTGAAGCCCAAAAAACATTCCTTGAGGTTCTTCAGTCTAAAAAGATTAGTGGCTCAGAGAGTCAAAAACATAACAGCATTTAAGATGACATTGCATTCTCTCTTAATGTAGTTGAGGCCCTCTTTAATATTTTTATATTCTTACTTAATGCTATTGTTGTTATTGTTATTTTGTTTGCTTACGATATGCTGTTGTGTTTTGATTCTTTGGTCCACTGTAAAACAGTTAGAATTCCCCGAACAGCTTTTTCTATTTGTGTTTAGAGTCAGGCTACAAATATATATATATATATATATATATACACGCTGTTGTCAGAACAAAACCTTGTATTTCCATTTTTGTCATTTTTCAGTTTTCAGTTTTTGCCTTTTGGCCTTTACATTGTGTGTAAATTTCATGATGAATGGACCAAAAAAAATTCCAGGAAGAAATTGGAAGAAAGTCTGGTTCCAATGACTTACATTAAAAGTAAAGTACGTTTTTTCTTTCTCCTGTAAAGTTAGCATTTTGGAGATACAAGGTTTTGATCTGATTTCTTAAACGCTTAAAATCCCAGGGTTTTTACATACTAAGGCTTATTATTCAGTAACTACAGGGACTTTAGTGCAAACTGCCTGAGCTATTCTTAGGTGTTAGAAGAGTGTATTAAAACTTTGGGCCTGCTGGTGGGCCCTGGCCATTTAAGGGGTCAAAGCACCTTATGATTATGCATATTTGTTGTGACAACAGCCATTAATGCTTCATATATTACATACCATACAGCCTATGCATTTTGAACTGGCTGTTTATATGTAAGGTTCAGTTGCTCACTCTCCATGTTGGAAAAAGGGGTTTAAGCCCAGTGTTTGAAGCACTTGCTGGGCTTCTAGTATTACATTATTTAAGATAATAATGTCACTTTGGTGCTTTGCGGGTGAGGTAATTTAATCCGTTTTGTCATCTCAGCCCTTAATGATGTGTTTATTGCAGAAATTCGTATAACAAAATATAATTTAGTGTGCAGCCCTAGACTACAGTACTTTTTTGTAAATGTTTCTTGACTGGTCCTATGTTAATAACGCTACAGAAGAAAGACCCCAAAATATTAAAGCACATCTTTAGAGCTGAAAAGAAAAAAAAAGTAAACTGAGTTCCGTTCTATTTGTGTGTGTGTGTGTGTTTGTGTGTGTGTTTAGCCACTGAGCTCTCTATCGCTGGCCGACTCGAAGCTGAAGGCGGATCTGTCCATAGTGCTCAACGCCGTGGGAGGAAACAGCTCCCTGACCCGCCTCGACATCAGCGGAAACGCCATGGGTGACATGGGGGCCAAGATGCTGGCCAAAGCCCTGCAGATCAACACTAAACTCAGGTCACACTCACAAACACAAACAAGAACACATGCATACATACATACATATGCAGTCATGTGCAAAAGTTTGAGCACTCCTGGTCAAATGACATGTTTTGTTGAAGTAAAAATAAGTCAATGCATCCTCTACAGAGAACACACTTCTGTGAAAATATTTTACATTTTATGTATTTTTTTTTCCAACATGATAATATGATGGCAGTGTTCAAACGTTTGCATACAACTGTTTATGTATATCTTGTTATGTATATTTAATAAGCTTTACAACTGTGTGTGTGTTTAGGACTGTAATTTGGGACAGGAATAACGTCAGTGCTCAGGGGCTACAGGATGTGGCAGCTGCTTTGGAGAAGTGAGTCAATATTCATGTATGTGTGTATTTGTATGTGTGTTATGTTTAGAGGAGCACAGGTGTCAGCCTCTAGACACATTAACCCTTCTATTCACAGCATTCGATCTGCATAAATGCACTGATTCCCATAAAGTACATTTCCAAAATTAAAAGAATTAACAACAGCAATTTATCCAGTTTTGACTTCTGTTACTGTGAAATATTCCTTTGTTAATTATACTAATTACTTCATACAGAATCGGAAATGTAATTTGACTTCATTTAGCAGTAAAACAGCCTCGCATATGGTTAAAAACGCATACAAACAAAATCAAAAGCAGAGAGAGAATGAAAGAGAGAGAGAGGCTATGTTCTACGATGAGCTGACAGAACAAAAAGTATCTGATGTCTCTTCAGTATGAGATGAGAAATGTAGAAATATTTTAGTAAGTTACTCTCCAGATGTGACGTTAATTTATTTCTGCAACGAACCCAGAAACTGTAATCCCTTAAACGATGATCTAATTCTCATCTTATAATAGCACAACACTTTTTCAAATTGTGGCGAGTTGGTCACGTGAGGCGATCTCTGTTTTTTCCATGTACAGCATGCAAGCTAGGGGTTGCATAGACTAGTCGACAAATAAGTCCACTAGTCAGTGAAGTCAGTGCCTGAAATACAGCAGGGGCAAAAAGTGCAGCGAACACTCCGGAGGAGAGAACAGAAATCAGTTTTTCTGCTAAACACAAGGAATGCAAAGTACTTTTTTCAAAAGCCTGACCGGGTAGGTTTTAAAAACCACCATCTCTGATAGTAATGGGCTTAGTGCGACGTGTCTTCAAGTTAAATTGTGGAGGACAGGTCAGCACACGCACAAGGATATGTTGTTTACTTCCTTATGACTGCGAACACGTTTCGGGAATAACTTCTAAAAGGGTGTGAATGTTTTCAGTGGCTGTGTCTCGCGCTGAAAGGCTTATTGATGTGTAGATTAACTGCTTGCTCTTAGCATGTAGCTTGACAATCATTTGATTCCCATTGGAATGATAAAAACAGTGCACAGAAGCACAGATTTAAAGCCATTCTCAGTGAGAGGTGAGATTCTGAGAACTGTAGTGATTTTAATGTGCAGTTTACATCAGAAGGTCTGTGTACTTCTGTGTCTGAGTCTGACACTCACTGAAATACAACAAAAAAACTCATGCCCATCTCACAACTTAAACTGCAGCGGCTGCCACCCCAGCATCTGTTGGCAAGCTAATACTTCACTGAAGTCTGGGACAATGATTTTTATGTGCTAATAACGACTAGACAACTACTTTTTGAATGGTTAGTCAACTAGTAAAAACTAGTAGTTGTGCAACAAAAGAATTTCACATAAATCAGTAAAAGGGCTACCTAAACTCCCACCACACCAGATCAGATCCCAGCTTTATGCTGCTAAATTTGAGGAAAAACTCAATTTTATATGAGTAAACCATAAGGGTTGACACTTATGAGAGTGGTCAAATTCTGATTTGTGGCCTGCAGGAACTACACTATCCGCTTCATGCCGGTGCCCATCATGGATGCTGCGCTGGCGCTCAAATCCAGCCCAGAGAAAACTGAGGATGCCCTCATGAAGGTCAGGAGGGAAGAGTGCATTCAGAACATGCTCAATATTACACAGTGAGCCAGTCACACAGCTGAAGACGTATGATCGATGTACGAGTTTGTTAAATTGCCAGTATATGTGTGTTCAGATGGAGCAGTATCTATTGAGGAACCATGAGACGAGGAGATACCTGCAAGAACAGGCCTACAGACTGCAGCAGGGCATCGTCACATCCACTACACAGCAGGTTACGTAGTGTCGCTGTGTGTGTGTATAGGTGTGGGAGTGAGTGAGCATTGACAGTTTGTGCATAAAACATCAGGGTTAACTTGTGTATGTACAATTTAACACACATGGCCAGTAGTGGTGCATCAGTCATGAATTTGTATGACTGATTTTGATTCCTTTGCAGCTGCATTGGCCGAAGAATGATTTTTTTGGTCGATTTATATTGGCATTTTTATTTCAACTCAAAGCATGAATTTGACATTTTGATACAAGACAAATGCCCAGCATTCAAACACAGTGCAAGTGCTCTTACTTGCCTCACAGTATGGACATCGTAACATTGTGAAACAAATCAGCCAATCAAAAAAATTTATTGAGTGTGTTTGGAGCAAAAATCTGCCAATTGCCCTAATGACTACTGTGTGTGTGTGTGTGTGTGTGTGTGTGTGTAGATGATTGACAGGCTGTGTGTGAAGGTGCAGGACCATCTGAACTCTCTTCGCTTCAGTGAGAGGCCGAGTGTCCAGGAGGACATGAGGGCAGCAGAGAGACTCGTACAGGACGCCCGTAACTCAAAAAGAGTGAGATTAACATGCAAACCAACGCGCACACACACATGTGGTCCAATGCATTTCAGAGACAGTGATGTGATCACAAAATGACCTCATTACTTTTGCAGTGTGAACGCTACGGTGTCCCCATGCATCTTCGACAGCATAAGGGACCAATTTGGTCATCTGCATTACCATAGCAGAAGAAAAAGGAGCCTCCTCTCCTGTTTGTTTACAAGTTCTATTAGCAATCCATGTGATTAAACACTTACTCCTTCAAGAACTTGTGACCCATTTTTTGTTTGTGAAAGGCCCTGGAAGGTGAGAATATAGTGAAGGCTGCAAAGTCTCATCCAATCTGCAAGAAGCCTGAGCCTTGGGAAATGATTTGTTTGCATGCAGCCAAAGCTACACAGGAATAGTTTATAAAAAACAAAAATAGTCAGACTTCAGATTTCGATCCAGCAGAGAATTTGTGGCTGGGCTTAAAAAAAGGCTGTTCACTCACAATCCCCATGCAACCTGTCTTATCTTTTTATTTCATCATCATAATTATCATCTAAGCCTCCTGGGTCACGGGGGTGCTGGAGCCTATCCCAGCACTTATTGCGCAGAAGGCAGGAAAACCCCTGGACAGGTCACTTTTATTTTTCTAATTCTATTTTTCTAATTAATTTATTTTTTATTTTTCTAAAATGTATAAGCTGTATTTAAATAATTATATTTAGAATCACATAAAGTTGTTATTTAAAATGACTTCCTGTGCATGTTAGTTAGCTAGCTGGCTAGCTAACTACCTAACATGATTGAGGAAGGAGGCTTAACTTCTTTTATTTTGAAGAAGCGATTTATCCAAGCTAACAAGATTGTAGGAGTAGCTAACTCTAATCCTAATCTTAACTCTTTTTATTTCAAAAGAGCAGTTTATCAGACAAAGCAAGGGATTTGTCTACCTAGCCTGGGGCTTCACATCATTAGCCTGTGGGGCTGCAACTAGACACTACTGTGATAACTGCTGTATATTTTGATTGTGTTTGAATAGTATTTTCAAATTTTTGATTATTTGATGATTCTTTATTTTATCTCCTCATGCTTACCCATATAACTGTCCAGAGTGACAAATAGAGCTGTAGATGGTAAATGAGCAACCTGTAGAATACACTTAACCTTCAGAATGCCTTATCTCTAGTTGTTCCCAAAAATCATGAAATATGAAATACATCTAAAAACACTGTCTATCCAAACAGCCCTTTTAGGTGAATTCACCTTTTTAATGTGCCCTGAGCAGCCACACGTATCCTAATCCTAAGGTCCTAAGGTCACCATGTCCAATGCCAAGCATCAGATAGAGGGGTATAAAGCCCCCTAGCAATGGCCTGTGGAGCGGTGAAACTGTGTTCTCTGAAGTGATGGAGCTCTATACATTTGGGTTGAGTTGTGATCCAGAACAGATCATCCAACATCAGTACCTGACCTCATTAATGCTCTTGTGGCTGAATGCAATCAAATCCTCACAGCATTGTTCCAACATCTAATATAAAGCCTTCCCAGAAGAATAGAAGAACAAACTCCCTGTTACTACCCTTCATTTCAGAGACTTTTGGGTGTATATTGTTCCTTTTAGTGTACAATTTACAACATTATAATCTACCTTTAACCTATTATATACCTATTGTATTATAAGTGATTCCAAACTTTATCCTTCGTAGCTGTTGGCCAGTATGTACCACCTGCGCTCATTGCGAGAAGGCGGAGGTGCATCTGATGGTGTGGAGAACCCATGGGCAGGGCCTATCCAGGAGAAACTGCAGTCAATGGCAGGAGAGATCAGCACTGTCATAGATCAACAGCTGCAGGTGAGCTCCAGGCTCAAACACACCATACATCAGCAGTAAAGACACGTTCAAGCAGTGTCCAATAAGTGCAGGGTGTGTTCATTACCAGCAGGGGGCAGTGGAGACCATGCGCAGCTTTGTGAAATGGTAGGTTTGATTGGAAGTTGAATGAGGTTTCAGAAGTTCTGGAAGAAAACTGGACTAACTCGTGTATGGCAAGAGGAGAACATTCTGTTGATTGCATAATCCTCCTTTAAAGATAACCCTCCAACTACCTGGTGCCACAGATAGTTAGGTGGTCTTCTCCAAAGGGGGCTGGCTGGACAGAAAAGGAAGTAGAAAAGGAATTTTTGCATATTTTAATTATTTTTTTCCCCAGAAAATAATTTTAAATAGTCATTTAAGGAAGTCTTGGTCAACTTTTCTTTTAGACTTTGTCATTTTGTTAAGAACAGACTTGCCTCTGACTTTTAAATTGACTATTTTAGGCTTTACAGCAGCAGCACACACACACACACACACACCGTATTTTAGCAGGTTTTTATCTCCTGACTCAGTAATGCACTTCTTTTCATTTTAACAAAAAATCCAACATAGTGCAGCTTTAAAGATGTTATTCTGTAGTAGCCTTTGTCCAAAATTCAAACCATCTGAAGTTGTCAACAGATCCTAAGGAGCTTAATGTTACAGGTCCCAGGCTTGGGACCCTTGGGACAGATTTTGCCCCTGAAAAACAGGGTTAAAGACTACCGTAGATAACACAGCCAGTGCTACACTGCCTCCTTCTGGTAGCATCAGGGAATAGCAGGGATACCTGCATTCTATTACAAAGCTTAGAGTTGGAGTGCATTGACAAAAGGATTAGAATGGTAGATGTTAATAAATTTAAATAACAATAATATGAAAGAAACATACAAACCCAAATGTGACCACACTTTGTGGGTGTCCCGTTTACTCCAGATAACAAAAGAGTATTATAGAAACATCCTAGCCAGACAAACTTTTTATGGGCTGTGGCCCCTTTATGGACAATAGGTGCAACCCTTCCCAACCCCTGTCACTTAACGAACAAGGACTATGTCTAACCAGACCCATGTCCATTTGCTAGCTTAAACCACAGCTGTCGCTGGCTTGCATGTGGCGCTAGCATGACAGATAACTCATAAAGTAGCCAGGGAATGGAAACGGAAACTGTGATTAGTTGGCACAAAGTTAATTTAATAATGTAAAAAAGTACTATTTTTTTTTAGTTATGGCAGAAGCTGATTTTACTGAGTTACTAAGTAAAGATACAACTTCTATTTTTTTTGTAGCCCCCTTTGTGCCCCTCTGCAGTCTCTTAAGGGGCCATGGCCCCCAGTTTGGGAACCACTGCTTTAGAACGACCCCAGTGGTGGCCTAACTTCTGTGTTAAGCTTCAGCATCTACTATTATTATAGGTTGTAAGCAACTGTGACAGGCATTAGAGGTTTACTAGCATTAACTAGCATAATGCCATTACATTTATTCATATTACAAAATGCTTAAAAGTTAAAGATGTGTGTGTTTATTAGGAGGAATAGCAGACATGGTGACGACGGCTTAAATGAAAATTGAAACAGGGGTGTTGCCTCTTTTAAAGCAGTAGGCCAGTTCTGGTATTCTTCATTTTTTCGATTGAGTTTACAGAAACTCCAGGTTCACGCCACTTTAAATTTATTTTCCCATGTATTACACACCATAGCTGTCTATACTATAACTTACAGTTCTATTCATGTTATTTGTTTGTTTCTGCTTGTATTATCGGTTGCTTGGTAGCAGACACAACAATCTATTACCCCCTCCATTAGGTGGACTAGGATTTCCAAACCTGAGATTAGATGCTTTAAGATGAGATATAATACCTAATTTATAATCCTATTTGCGTCTGTAATGTGAATTTGTGGACAGTCTTATCTTGACCTTATCAAATCTTAACTTTGGACTGCAGATAAGAAGTTTCTATAATACAGCCCCTGGATTTGTAGAGCAGAGAAATCAACTGTGCCTCAGTTCTCCACCTCTATTCCACAGTCTTTCGTTTGTATTTGTTTGTTTGTAGAGTTTGTTGGTGTCCATGGTGGACACGGCGGAGAGTGTGTGTCCTCACGTGATGAGCAGAGCCGTTCTCAGGCCGGTTCTGATGCGGGCGAGCGAGGGGAGGATGAGTGTGCCCCAGACCTTCATCACGAACACTCTGCTTGAGCAGTCCGCCGTTGACATCATCAACAAAATCAGGTCACACTCACACACCTCTCCTCTGTCCATCTACTGAGCGCTGGTCAGTAAAGCTGAAGATGCTGCATAGTAGTAGGGAGTAGGGATGCACTTATGTGGGAAATCAGGGCCGGTGTCCAATATTTTTCATGTACAGACAATTTATAGGATGTTTAAATTGGGACAAAATGCACCTGAATTAGCATTACAGAGAAATATAACATTTCTTTCTGCAGGTTTACAATTGCAGTAAAATGAGTAAAATGCAGATAGGCCTGTCACAAGTATGATATACTTGCTTGTTGACAGCTATTTCAGCTGTTCGCAGTTACTCATCCTCTAGGTTTGGAAAAGTTCATGTAAACACAAAAAGGCAGAAAATATATTTATTGAGAGACGTCATGGGTCATAAAACACTGACTCTATTGTAACACCTCTAGAGGGCAGTGGTGAGTAATGTTTGCTTATTTGAGCATTCTGCTATGACTTGAGGGCAGAATCAACAGCTGGAAAGCAAGATAGCTACAGATGTATGCAAAAGTTTGACTGGACAAATTACCAGTTTTGTTGATTTTTCTAGGTGAAAACAAGTTACATCCTCTTCAGGGAGCGCACTAAAATATGGCACTTACTGCACAACTTCTATTTATTTGCTAAGTTTAACATTTTAGAAAATAATATAAAATGTAAATGAATAAAATGTGAAATATAAAATGTGCCATGACTTTTTCACATGCCACACTGTATGTTCTCTTTTTTCAGTATATTAAATTCAGAAAATAAACCATAAATATCCACTGAAATGTGCACAGGTGTGTTCACTGTGTAACCTTATTTTTCACTCAGACTTTAGGCTTGTACTTTAGCAGTTGCAGACAATGAAAAAGAAGACAATTAAATTGTTAATAAGGCAGTTAAACTAAACAAAATTTTCTGATCATGACAGGTCAAGTGCAGATATCACCTTAACATTCTGCTCTTTCGGTGTTCAATAAATACATCATCAAATAACATTTTGAAAAATTGTTTAAGCAAATATCTGCTGATATTGAAATGATTTTTATATCATTGTGCATCCCTAGTTTAAAACTGTCCCATATTATGTGCCTATATGGTTGTTTTAATAACTATTAATGTTAGTGTAGTAATGCTTGTGTTTGTTTTACAGTGAAGTAAAGCTCAGCTTGGCCTCGTTCCTCTCTGACCGCATCATTGATGAGATTTTACAATCCCTCTCTCGCTCTCAACACACACTGGTCAGTATTAACACCTACATACAGACACCAGACAGTGAACCTACATGTTTCTTTTGAGTCTGAATATGCAATGTTGATGATGGGTAAAAAAGGTTTTTCTTTGGGAATTCTGTGGTCTTACGACACCCTGTATTTAAAGGGGAGTTCCACTAATTCTACTAAGTTTCTGCATAATTCAAGCCTTCAGATGTAAACAAAGTCATTCAGATGGATATAAGGTGCCTTGCTGCGAAGAAACTTAGGACACTTCACAGTGGTGCTGATAGGAACCAGGGGTCAGAACGTCTACAAGACAAATGTAGACATTTTATTTACTATCCAAAACCACCAGCAAGCCTACACATGTCTTTTGAGTCTTTATATGTAATGATGATGGTAAAAAGATGGTAAAAGTTTTATTTGAAGATTGTTTCGCTTTACAATGCCCTGACGTACCTGACATACCTCTCTGCCATGAACAGATTCAAAAGAATATATATTTTAGGTTAAAACTGTATCCAGAACTATTAACTATTAACCATTTCATGTAATAGCTTTCTGTGAGGAAGCTTTAAAATAAAAGAAAATAAAGCCTATAAAAGAATGGTTTAGACCAAAATCTTCTATCAAAAGTATCACAAAACAATATCTCATCAGGCAGGCATCAGGCAGCATGTTCATAACCATTCACATTTAAAAGCATTAAACATGTTGGACTTCTGGTTCCTGACCACTGTAAACACAATTCTCTAGAACAGAATTTCACATCAAACCACTCTGAATGACTTGTTTACGTCTTAACCATATACTTGATGTATGCAGTGATGTCATGGCGTCCATGCCCAGACATGAAAACATGCAAACAAACACACTTGCATGTTCGTGTGCATAGGCGGAGCACCTAAGTAGGCGTGGCCAGCCGCTGTTACATCACGATTCAGAGGAGACTGAGGTTGTGGATGAGATACAGCTGCAGCCAGAGAACCTTCCAGCACCTCCAGATGATCTACTGGTACACACACACACTCACACAGAGGGCCCACTGAAAACTTCATGCATGGGCCCCTTTTTTAAGCTCAGTGTCATCAGCTGAACCTGACGCAGCACTAAAACATGTCAGAATTTTCAAAACTCTGCTACTTATTTTGTTGTAGCTCTGTAATTCCTGCTGTTCCTTGACATGCAGCAAACTGTGAATATGAAAAGCAACGCGACTGTATATCAGTACACTGTATGCCACTGGCCAAAATTTGAAATACTTCTCAAAAACATTGTGTCTTCACTTTTAAAGCAAAACTCCACAATGGACTGTTTTTTAAATAGTATAGGACAGGTACATTATCTAAAGCCTATTAAATTAAAATATGAGTAAAATCAAAACTCTCATTCTTTTCACTGACGGTGCATAATTATTTCATGAATTATGCATTTCAATCAAGAGTATTTCAGTAAGCCAAAAAAATTACATTGGAATATTTGTACTTTTTTTGTTTCAGCTTTGTTGATATGAAACCCTGCAGGCCAATAAGATTGGACACTGCTGCTTCACAGGGAACACACACATTTTAATGCACAATTACTGTTTATTAGATTAATGTGTCATGTTGGAAAAAATAAGCATAAAATGTGGCCTGTGGAGAAGTTATGGCACATCTTATATTTCATTTTTTCCAACATGTTAAACTCGGCACATAAATAGAAATTGTGCACTGAAGTTTGCAGAAAAGTGCAAAATGCATTTCTTTTGGCTAGGGGTGTTCAAACCAGTGTTGTTTTTGTCAGTACTTATAAATAATTGACGTGGCTCGTACTCTGAAACTCAGCCCTCTCTGTTTTTTATCTGCTGTTCTTGTTTTTCTCTCCGAACATGAAGCTGACTCCCACATCCAAGAGGAAGAGCATTCTCTTCAGGATGGTGCGGCCTGTCTCCGTGGCCTTCGGTAAAAAAAACTTCTAATGAACTTAATATCTACAGCAGAATGCTGATGTTATTGTATTCAGACGTATAAAGAATATGCAGTTATTCAGTTCAGTGTGCGCACGTATAAAGGATATACAGTTGTTGTATTTAGTGTTCACTCCTGTTGTGTCTGTTGGTGTGTCTGACAGAGCTGGAGTTTGATCTGGATAAAGCTCTAGAGCATGTCCCCATCCACATGGAGGACCTGCCCCTCCCCCCTACCCCTGCCCCTGTGGAGGCGGAGTTAGAGAGGCAGGAGAGTGTGTGTTTTAGCGACCTGCCAGAAACAGAGTGTCCCAAACTGAAACACATCACCAAACAGAGACCCCGCAGGAAGAAGACCAGCAAACCCAGCAAACCTCCTGTACGAGTTACACCATTCATTCTCACTCACTCAGTCTCTCTTTTTGTCTTTCAGCCTCTCTCTCTCTCTATCTTTTTCTCTCTCTATCTTTTTCTCTCTCTCTCTCTCTCTCTCTCTATCTTTTTCTCTCTCTCTCTCTCTCTCTCTCTCTCTCTCTCTCTCTTACCCACTCTCACTTTCTTTTGTGTGCACAGCAGAGTAGGCTAATTAATAGCCAAGTTTATATTCATTCAAAGTGCTTTACATATGCAATGATAAAAGCATAAAGGGTGATGTCAGCCATACACAAAATGTCTTTTCAAGCGATTCCCAATGTCGGAATTAAATCGTGAGAGTCTCTCGTTTAGTGTGAGGTGGTCAGGATGGCTGTCTTAAGTCGGTCTTTTACTCATCTTGATGCTGCGACAAAATCAACCGTGTTTAATATTATTGTAAGTTTTTAGTCTTGGCTCATGCAAATAGTGACGTGCTGGAGCGTTCATGAGTGTCATTGGGCGAGCACATGCTCGTGGCGCGATAGAGGGAGCGAAATAGTTAGAGAGAGCGCAAGAGAGAGAGAGTGCAAGGGAGAACATGCATGTGTGAGTGTCTGTAAAAAAGGCATATCTGCTCCTCTTTAAAACAATCATATTAACTTAAAATTGTAAACTGGCTGTTCTAATATGTCAGGTTCACTGAGTGTAACAGTAATGTAAGGAAATGTGCAGAGAACTTTAAGAATGACATTATTGGAGAAGCATCATTTTTTTTTTTTTTCGTCTTTGCTTTCTGTTACAGTGGTTTCTTATTTCATTTGTATTTATGGTTTAGTTCATAATACCCAATCAACAATGCTGAATCACTGCATGTTTTGATAATGTATACATTTTTATGTTAAATAAAAAAGCAAGTGCACATTCTACCCATAGGAGTCACTGGTGTTACACATAAGAAAGGTAACACCAGTGACATTTTTAATTAAAAATGCATTTTACAAAATGTCTGCTACAGAGCATCAAACCACATGTTGTCAGTCATGGAATATCCACTAAAATATGTAATTTAATCCATGTGTATTCTATTTTTTCATAATTACCTAAGAATAAAGTTGGTCACACCAGTGACTTCAACTAAAAGCTTCATATGAAATCATGAGCTAAATGAGAAAAAGTCTGATAGCTGAAAAGACACAGTGGACTCACCATTTTCTTCATAGATCTACAGAAAGGAAGTCAAGTGATGTCATCAGTGTGATATTTATTTCAAAATAAGAGATTTCTTGTTACACAGTAACACTAATGACTCGACTCCAAGGGACAACAACTTCCATTATATATTTTATAATATTTATTTGGCATTTATTTTCTTTATGTCACGTAAATCATATATTTCATAGTCATGTACAGAGTATTGCAGTTAAAATTGTAGAAAAACATTTTTTTACCTGAAAATATGGAGCTTGCCCTTACACATGAGGACGAGCACTTCTGTGGTGCTTGGAATTCTATATAATTAAAAAAACAATATTGCTCAAAAAAGGTATTATTGTTAAAATAATGTATTGTTTTATTTTAAAATATGAATAAATTGTAATCCTAACCTGTTTTTTCAAGTGTAATATATCTGTAAATGCTAGAGACACAAAAATGGAAGTTTCCAGAGAATAACTCAAAAATACTGGGTGATGATCTGCCAGAATATACAGTTCTACAGTGAACTGGGCTGAGCCCCAGATCTTAACATGCACAGCCAACGTGTCTTCCCTTCTGTACCTCCATAGAGTGGATAAGGAAAAGGTTTCTCTGCTTGTAAATTTGCATCAGGTGCATGATGGGAAATAATCTCAAAAAGTCTAGTTGCAGTCTTGCAAATAGTGACCCTACACGATCCCCAGTCTTTGCATCATCACAACTTGTGAGTGAAGATCGCGCCATTATCTCTAGATTTTAGAGGGTGTCGGACTTTTAGCCTTAAAAGTCTTATAAACCTTAAAAGACCAGACGAAAAGATTAGGAACATTAAACACACACAGGATAAGGTGGGTGTGGTGTTCGTTGCATGTTAATGATTGTAATTCTGATTCTAGAGAGGCTGAGGTTGGGGCATATCAGACGTTATCCAGCTGTTGGTTCCAGCTGTGTTTATAGTTTAGATTATATTCTTCCAGCATAAAGAAGAACATATTTTGGTCCTGTTCATTTAGTGATTTGTATCAGCACTTTGAAATCAACTGTGTGTAAACAGAAGTGAGTGTGGAGATTGGAGAATAGTGCACACAGACACAGTCTCACTGTTCCTCTCTGTAGTCTGTCCTGTGTTTTAAAGCCTGTTTTAAAGTCTTCTGCTCTCCGTCAGGCCATCCGGAGCGCTCCTGCTGAAGACCTGGAGCAGGACGGGCTTGTGGCGAAAGTTGATGAGGGAGTAGACGAGTTCTTCGCTAAAAAAGTCATAAAGATCATAACCATGTGAGACACGAATTTCATTTCACTTCAACATTTTTGGTCATTTTTTCTAAAGAAAGAAAAAAAAATTAATAAACCCACTGACTGTTTACGTCAGTGTTGGGCTTAGTCAACCTCTCCTTTTCTCTCTGTCTTTTTTTCCTACCCTTTCTTTCTCTTCGGGTCTTTGTTTTACATTCTGTCCTTTTTCTTTCTGTCTTTTTTTCCTTCCTTCTATTTTTTATCTTTTTTCCTACTCCTTCTTTCTTTCTTTGGTCTTTGTTTTTTATTCTGTTCTTTTCTTTCTGATTTTTTTCATTTATTCTTTTTATCTTTTTCTTTCTCTTTCTTCCTGTCTTCCTTGTTGTCTTTCATTTTTTTGTCGTTCTGCTTTTACTTTCTGTTTGTTTTTCTTTATTTTTATCTGTTTTTCTTTCCTTTCCTTCTTTCTTTGTTTCTTTCTTTCTTCTGTTTCATTTTCTGTTTTGTCCTTTTTATTTTTGCTACTTGTTTTATTTGTTCATTGTATCTTTCTTTTTCTTTCTGTTTTTTATTCTCTCTCTGTCTCTCTGTCTCTGTCTCTCTTCTGTCTTTCTCTCTCTTTCTCTCTCTCTGTCTCTCTCTATCTCTCTCTATCTCTCTCAGGCGTTCCTCTGTGAAAGACTCGGTTGTGGATGGGGAGAAGAAGAGGGAATCTCGCATGAGCGGCTTCTTCAACCTCATCAAATCACGATCCTCGACCAAATCCTCGCCCACCAGTCCTCACACACCCACCACCGTTCCTACCAGCGTTACCCCAACAACAGCAACAGTTCCTGTAGCAACAACCACCAACACAACAATAACAACAGTGCCATCCATAGAGGAGTCAGATGAAGTGGATCCCTCAAAGACTGCAGTCAGAAGTCCAGTTCCCGAACACTCTTCTGAGCCAGTCAAGACTCAGGATAACCAAGTGGAGAAAACTGACCCAGGTGACCATGGAAACACAACGATGACCTCTGAGCCTAAAGGTCATGCAGAGGAGGGTAAGAAGCGTGACGGGCAGCATGGGGGCCGAATCCGAGGGGTGCAGGTGATGGGTAATGACTTCCTGGCTCAGCTCCGGGCAAAACAGGAGAAGATGAAAGAGAAGGTGAGTAAACTTTTTAATGCCAAAGCACAAAGCAAACATTGCTGACAAATCAGTAGTAAGCGTTTCCATAGCAATGTGAATTTAGGGCATCCAACAGTAACAATAAAGGCAGCATGGAGTGACAGGAAACACGGTAACACACAGAAAGCTCCAGTTCCACATGCTGATCCATTTTACTATTACCAACATGGACATGCACACCATGCACTAGTTTGGGAGCAGATTTTAATCTGTTAAAGAGGACAAAAACTCAGAGTATCACCATGATAGGTTAGATAAGACAGTGTTAAGTCTGATTTATAGTTCTGCAAAGATGCAGTGTATTTGCATAGGGAAAGAGGTTTATAGTAATCATAGTTTGCAGAGGCTTAAAAAATATCTGCGGTGCATTTAGCAAACACTAGCTAAAATAAAATAAAGCTCTGCTGATCGTCCTAACACATTTTTAACAATAAATGGTCTTAAACGCTGGAGATAATGTAGCCTTAATCTGCTAATTGACCTTTTGACCCTGGAGATTGGTGCGAAGACTGCTGGTCACACAGCAACACAGACAACAGTCTCGCCTAGCTAGTAGCTAACAAAAGGGCAAAAAGAGAGATTTAAGACAAACGTCGCTAATTTAGAGACAAATGGACTTGTTTGCTTTTATAAGCACTCCAGCTGGTTTCCTGATACATTTAATCTGCAACAAGAAACTGTGAAGCACTAAAAAGTCACAAAGCTGAAATCAACCTCGTTTGAATTTTCCCTTCCCACCTTAAATGGCGCATTTAAGGTAGAATGGGAAAATTCAAACAAGAAGCTGGCGATTGAGAACCAACTTCAGCCTCGCAAAAAATTGAACATTTTAGAGACATTTTACAAGAAACTATTCCACGTTTGAGAAAAAGTTTCCTGCCAGAGACGCGAGAAAAGCGGCTATAGCTGAGCTAAAGCTTAAAGCAGAGCAAAGTAAGTCTGCGTTTTCATTTATATGTTTTAGACCTATACTAGAACATTAGCACATACTGAGACATACTTACAACCAAAATGTTAAAATGGACATAAAATATTGTGGCTCCCAAGGTGGTTTGATTTTTTGTTGAGAGGACACAATGATTCTTTTTAACATTTGGGTTGCCGACCCCAGATCTAAACCATAGGGAGTTAAAGTACGACTAGGGCGACTGGAATGCACCATGCTTGGATTGAGCAGAGAAGTGAGAAGTGTTGAGGCCAAATTAGCTCTATACAAAAAAAAACACGATAAAAGCATCTTCTTTATTGCATCCAATATTTTTCTTCATTCTGTTTGTTCTCTCTATACTACACTGTAGTGCTAGATGATTCCCAGGGTTGAAAAAGGCTTTCTATTTCATTTTGTGTACGTTCTACTCAATAAATGTGATGCTGCTTCCTAATGCCACATTAGTGTTATGTAAGTTATGTTGGTAGACATACCAGACCTCTGTAGACCTCTGAAGTCATGTTGTCAGTCTGTAGATGCTGTCTACACTGTATTGTATTAGGAACTCCAGGTCTAAGCTGATTTCTCTGTGGAAACAATGAATGGCCTTTTCAATTATCACAACTAAAATGTTATAAATTCAAGTATTTTGAGTTTAAAACATTTTAGTTTTTCCTTCGAATGTCACTAGATCCTCTGAATTACAAGGTCACTAAAGTGTTATAGTTCCTAATATGGGCATTATGTTTACTACAGAATGGCACATGACCTCATGGCACATGAGGTATGTCGTGAATATCTGTGCACACTGTTGGAAATAAAGGTCCTGTGCAGGTACATTTTTCGTTCATCAAGGTACAAACGATGTAAATGTTCCCTCAAAGGTACATCAGTGGTTTTAAGGCCCAGTTGTGTACCTTAAATAAGTTTTCCCAGGTGAAAAGTACATATTTGTACCTTTTCATAACCTAATATTTTAAAACAGATCAATAAAATAAAAAGCCTGAAGATGAGACGGGGTGTGTGGAGTCAGTACAGCTTAGAAAATATAATTACAATGGATTATGGTACAATTATGTTCCCTGACTAAAGGTACTGAGATGTACCCTTGAGGGAACCACCCCAGTGACAAGAGGGGTACTGCCCCAGTGACAGCTTTGTACCTTTATTTTCGAGAGTGCATGATGCCCATATGTGATCACAGATTCGAAAACATAAAAGTATAATTTTGTCTATATTCATACCTTGAACACACAGCCTTAACTATGCTTATGCATATCAACTAGAATTACTTTTTCAGACTTTTGCTTAGCAGACATTTGTTCTTAGTCTGAAAACTTTAATAAGAGTGCACATGTTAACTATATTTCATATTAGAAGAAAAGCTATTTATTTTCTTCTCTTTTAACCATTAACGTGTTTTCTTTTCTTTTAAATCATTACACAGGCAGTTGATTCCTCAGTTTCTACAGCCAAAGCTGAGCCTGATCACGGTTGGTGTTATTATAATACATGAAGGCAGACAGCACAGATAACTGCTCTTATACCCATTTAATATGTTCTAATTTTGTTCCAATTCCACCTTTTACCAGTTGATGGAGACCCTGGCGCTGTAGAGAAGCTGCTTCATAAAGAGCGCCATCCAGAGCCAGCATTTAGATCCCACTCTCCTCAGTCTCAGCCAAAACATGGTGGTCCTGCACCTGCACCTGCGCCTCTGCATGCACCTGTTCACACACCTGCAACCAAGCCCACACCTGCCCCCACACAGACAGGCACCAAATCTTCACTCAGCCCCCATCCCAGCAGCTCCAAACCTCTCCACAGCCCTCAGGCTTCTGTACCACCAAGCCCAGATAGGCTCCCGAGCCTGGAGCACCTCCCCAGCCCTTGGGTTCCTCCTAGCCCCCTGACCAGTCCACCAAGCAGCTGCAGCTCCAGCACTTCAGCAGGTTGAGTTAGATAAAACGTCATGCCTTTATTCACATGTTTAACTTTTATTTGTTCCTCTCAGTGTTTCTTCCTCATGCTCTAAGAGATGGTTACATTACCACATTTCTGGACAAGCTGCTTTAGGACAATGACTGCTGTAAAAAGCTCTATTAAAATAAAAGATTTGCAGTGAATGTGCTGTTTGGTGCAGTGGGCATTGCCATGTAAATTAGTCTCTGACACTGATGGTTAAAACTGCTTTCTATTTGTCAGATGATGTCTCAGGTCACTCCAGTACCAGCTCTTACCCCAAACTGCCCATAGTGGCTCTACACCACAAGGAGGCGCCATCTGACATAGAGACAGAGGAGCAGTCACCCGTCTATCACAGCATGGATGGAGTCCCACCTCATATAAGTATATTCATTTATTAGTCTGTTTTTCCTTTTAACTTTTACCCATTAGGTAATTAATATAGTTTACTAAAGTTAAACAAGGAATTTTTGGTAACACTTTACTTGAAAGGTGTCTACATAACACGTTCATGACGCCTTGCATAAACACTTCATAACAAGTTCACGAATGTTTAAATCAACATTTATAAAGTGTACACGTTTTACATGATATTAAAGTTGACTTCTGTCTCATTTTACTGAGATGTATTTTCAAAATAAAAGTCTTCAGTTTTTACTTTGAAAACCTATATTATTTTAAGTAAAACGCCTCATTTCTGGACAGGCAAAATAAAAATGAATTCACTTTATCCCTTGGGTCATTAAGTGCTTTGACACTGAGGCACGTTTCATGTATACTTTTGACTCCTTTTTACTTATTTGTTTTTACTTATGCATTTGTTGCCTTACATGTCACTTTACCATATGGACAGTAAATTACTCATAAATAAGCTATTAACAATCTTATGTCTGAATCTTAGTACAGTAGTGGGACTAAATGGGGCAATAAAACTCATCCACTCCCTGTAGATGCTGGATAGCCACATGAATGTAAGTAGACTACAAAATTTAACCTCAAAGAATGTGAATTAATTTGGAAAACCAATGCACAATTATACTTGAGCCTTCTCCAATACCTTAAGCAAGGAAGAACATCACTAACAGTGCTAGCATTTAACCCCAAGGGAGTTAAACTTGGGATAAATAACATTTTTCTCAAAAATGTATAGACTGTTGAATTAACTCCGTGGCACATTACAAATGTAATGAAGACACAGTAAAGTGAAAAATACCAAGAAACAAGTCATTAAAATAACTTGAAAGTATAGGCACAGTGTGCCTAAGTGTCAGTGCACTTAATGACCAAAGAGGTCAAACAAGGTCATTTTAATGACATCTAGTTTGACTGAAAATAATAGTTTTTCAAAATAAAAAATGAGGACTTTTATTTAAAAAAAGAAAGTCTCTCAGTAAAATTACATAGTAGTCCATATTAATATCATGTAAAGCATGAAGAAGAATTTTGATTTAAACATTCATGTTATGAAGTGTGTATGTAAGATGTTATGAATGTGTTGTGTAGACACCCTTCAAGTAAAGTGTTACCCAATTTTTCACAAGGGTTGTTTTCAAATTCAGGACTCTCCAAAAATATTTTTGGGTACGTTACTTGATCCCTGCTACACTGACCTAATAATGACCAAGTTATGCCATTAACATGTCAAGGCAGATATCATATGCTGTCAGGAGTCATGGTAGATAACAGCATCATATTACCACTGGCATTAATTGTCATATCAGATGCCATAACGTTTGCTAAAATACCACTTGTTAGCCATCATGACATCAAACATTATGACATACTTAATGACAGTTACCAGTAATAGTACCATTACACTGTTATAGCAGCTTACGACAGCATACAACATCTGCCATGACGTTCAAGTATCAAATTTCCATTTATTATTGTGAAAAATCTTTTGGCTGAAGTTATCTGACTGATAAATCTTACTTCCTTATTTCCTGTCAAGCTAGACTTAATAAGTGATAAAATACTGTCTACAGCAGTTCTGTGGTCATGATGGCCTGTTTTCTGCAGATAGCTTCTATGAGCTACTGCTGTTTTAGTGGTTTCTTACTGCAGAGGTGTTGTTGATGGTATTGCAGCTGCTTATACTGTTGCTCTGTTTGACTCTCAGTTCTGGACAGTGCAGCAGAGGACAATGTGTTTGAGTCAGAATTGAATGCACATACTTCAGAAACAGGACAACACTGCACTTCCCGTCACTCCTCCACCAATCCTGATGAAGAGAAAGGTGATCCCCTCCGCCTGTCTTTCACATGAAGTCACAGCAGCACACTTATATTGAGATACTTATATACGCTGTCCTCCCTTCCCTCTGAGGTCGCTCCGCTGTCCAGTGACATTGTGTTAGCGCCAGTTCGAAAAAATGAGGTGGCTCATCTGAACTTTGGAGGTGTAAAAAATATCTCTGAAAGCGAGTTTCCTGACAGGAATAAACCATGTAAAAAAGGCACACAATTTTCTGTCAAATATATATTTGTTCTGCTTCTTTCCTGATGCAAAAAAAAAAATGGAAAAAAAATTAACTGGAAATTAAATAAGTGTAGGATGGTCAGCCACTTTTGCTCAGTACTGTATGTGCTCGATCTTACAGTGCTCGGGTGTGTATAATGCTTTATACGAATTCAGTCTACACTCATCATGACCTTTAACAGAAACATCTACTTTCTACCTCCACTCACTGTGCACTTTATTAGCTCATGAACCAACTGCATAGGTTCACTAGGTATGTGTACAATTATAGCGTGTAGCTCTTTTGATGAACAATTCGTCACTTAGTTAGTTTTTGACCACTGGACCGCTGTTGTTCGGGTATTATTCAGGTTGTGATCCATTCACAGCACAGCAGTGACACTGACATGGAAGTGTGTGTGGTGCTGGTATGAGTGTATCAGACACAGCACTGTTTCTGAGGTTTTTACATGTCATCCAAAAATATCCAGACAAGAGCAGCTCTGGTCAGAAACTGAGCACTGATGAAGGACTAGAGGAGGGTCAACAGATGACCTACTGTCTCTAACTGTACACCAGCAAGGTGGAGCTACAAGATAATTGTTTCTAACAAAGTTGACAATGAATATATTACTGCAGTGGAACTAAACTGGCAGTTATGTTTGTTTTTGTTTTGTTTTTTTTGTAGTTGGCCTGAGGAGAGACTCTGCTTTAGCTCAGAACCTCAGCACTGCAGACTCTGACACACAGCACCAGACTGCTGACCAGCACACTGACCCAGCATCAGCCCACAGTGAGCCACCCAACCAGGACAAAACAGCAGAATGAACACAAACCAACCAGGACAGTGCTGTAAAATAACTGTCATGCAAACCAGGGAAGTTCCAACTGACTCTTACTTCACAGCCAAATATACTCTTAGAGCAGGGTGGTTGCCTTCTTGCCTTTACAAATCAACTATGAAATTAGGGGAATTCCTTTTTAAATAAAATGGTTGAGATGTAAACAAGGAGTGGTTAGATAAGAAATGCTGCCTTTTAGAGAACCTGAGTCAGAATTGTTCACAGTGGTGGTGATAGGAACCAGACATCTGAAGAGTTTAATGCCTCTAAAAGCTCCTTCACAGAAAGGTATCACATTAAATGGTTATAAATACACTGTTTGATGCGAAACATTGTTTTAGGACAGTTTTTATCATGTTTGTTTCTTTTTTATGTCTGTTCATGTTGAGGTGAGGTACATGTTGAGGTGAGGTACATGCAGTGTGTTGTTGGCGACTTGTTTTTTTTCAGATGTATCGCTATTTCCCCATCATCAACATTACATATAAAAACTCAGATGACAGGTGTAGGTTCACTGGTGGTTTTGGATGGTAAATAAAATGGCTGTATTTGTGTTGTAGACATTGTGACTCCTTGTTTCTATCACCACCACTGTAAAGAAATCTGAGCAAGTTTCTCTACAGTGAACAATTTCACACCAGACCACCCTGACTGACTTTGCTTACATCTCAACCACTGAGCTATGCAGGAATTTTGAAAAATGGGTGGAATTCCCCTTAGCTCCTGCTATTATGAGCCATTTTCCAACAATCAGGACAAATGTGAAAAGTATCTGTACTTTCATGGGTGAGCTGAAGTCTGCTTGTGCTTACTGAGCACTTCTGTGATTTTAAGGCCAGATGTTTTTTTATAACTGTCATGTGACTATAATGACATTTTATGTGTCTTTATTTATATGAAATTGACACTGAACTCCTCCTCACCCCCCATTCATTCTCTCTTTCTTTTCTGCCTCTCATTTTCTTTCTTTTGCTCTTCTTTCTCTCTTTTTCTCACACAGTGTAATGCAGTAGAAGAGGAATTTGCAAAGTGCTACAATCTTAAAGAAGATGGTTCTTGAAAGGTTCTTTAGTAAAGACAGTCGTCCTATTTAGCACCAAAAAGCGTCCTTCTATTGTTATGATGTCGAGCTTGTGACAATAGAAGAAGGCTTTTTTGTGCTATATAGAATTCATGGTTCTTTGAGTGATCATGGTTCCATATGGAACTATTGTCTTTACTAAAACCCTTGAGGAACCATCTTTTTTTTCAAGAGAATAGAATAGTCAGGTTCAAGTACACTCTTAAAAAAGATGGTTCTTCAAGGGTTCTTCAGTAAAGAAAATGGTTCCATATAAAACCATGAACACTCAAACAACCCTTTGTATGATTTAAGGGTTCTGTGCATGTTGAAAGTGTTTTTCAGATTGATGGAGAATGTGTTGTACATGGTTTTATATAGAACTTTTCTGAAAAGGGTTCTATATAGTACCAAACAAGTTATTCTGTTGTTACAGTGTCAAGCTTGTAATAATAGGAGTGCACTTTTTGGTGCTATAGAGATCCATTTACTAAAGAACCCTTGAAGAACCATAATTTTTAAAGTTTGTAGTTCTAATGCTAAGAGATTTACCAACACTGACTGTCCGCCAGATATACTACCAGTCCTATGCCATACTATATAACTTCTACAGTGTAGAGTTAAATATTACAAACAATTCAACAAAAGATTTTACTTTTTTATTTAATATTTCAAGAAATTTCAAGAAGAAATGTTATTAAATAGTAAACAGTATGAAGTAATTATCTGTTTACATTCATTTTTGTCCTGCCTTGATAATTGATCACCACTTTTGAATGATGAATTCTGGATATTAATACTATTTAACTCAATATCTCAGTCATATTGTAATCCTATATGGCTCTGTTCATCATTCTGGACACATCTAGTACTTCTTAACCTATCAAGTAGCGCTGTACTAACATATTAGAATCCATTTATGCATTTATCTGAAACCAGGTTGGTTTCATTTTATTGCAAACGTTGATTACAAACTTTTGTAAGGTAGTTTAAGAAAACCGTGCTTCATCTCTGGGTTCACTATAATGTTGCCTCACTGAAGTGACACTAGTGACCCATTTAAACAAGGTCAAGATTTTGTAACAAAACCATGTAACTGAAAATTTATAGGAGAGTAAAAAGATGTTCATATGTTACTGTAACAAGATTTTATTCTAACTATGAATCATTTCTGTTGGACTAATTATCATGCAGTGTTCACACAATGTAAAGCGAGCTCTAAAATAATAGAGTTAAGAGGTGTTCATATGACACATGATTTGTTTTTCCTAAGTTTAAAACCCCTTTGATCAATTGCATTCGTTCTGAGAATCTTTCAAAGCCTGTATAACATTTTACTAGATTTTTATAAAAGAGTAAAGAGTAACATGATTAAAGTTTATGTATACATCACATACTGCTTGTTACATGGCTGGCCATGTGGACACTGAAACACCAGCATTTTGGTTAAACAGTGTTTGTTTTTCATTCATTAACAATGTTCAGTTGAACTACAATTGCACTAGATGGTATTACATTTTGTAAATCTTTACTAAACACTGTAGATTTTATGTTTAAAAGGCCCACATCCCACATTTGTGTTGCATTTTATTTTTTCCCCTGAGGTCCACTTATGATGTTCCATTTTGATCATTTCAGTCTTTCTTGATGCCTCAGTATTAAACAGGTTTTGTTATTGTGCCTGTAAGATTGACATATAGTTGTATGCAGACGTTTTTATACTTCAAGTGAGCCTGACTGATTTTCTAAGTGAAAATAAGTTAACAAATCCTCAACAGTAAAAAAAAATAATGACATTTTCTCCAAATTTTAGAGCACAATTTCTGTTCATTTGCTGAGTTTAACATATTTAAAAAATGCAATAAACTAAGTGTGCCATAACTTTTGCACAGGCCACTTTTTATGTTTTATTTTTTCACCACCATGTTAAATTCAGCAGATAAGCAGTAATTGTGCATGAAAATGTGCAGAAGTGTGTTCTCTACAGAGGATGTGTTCACATTTTTTCCACTTAGAAAATCAAGATGTCATTTGACCAGGGTGTCAAAACTTTTGCATACGACTGTAAGTAAATGGTGTCTATTCTGATATGTAAACTATTTGTTTTTTTCATGACTTCATATAAACAATAAATTTGTTAGGCAGGTTAGTTTCTAATTGAATTTTTTTTCTGTAATATGGGCTGATAGGAGTTAATATACAACAGAACATGGAAACAAAGCTGTACTAGCTTACTGTGCAAGTTCTGTCACTGTGGTTCATTTTGACTGATTAATTGTATATAAAACTACTTATAAAAGTGGTAATAGGAGATATGGTTTATTTAGATCTTTACTATTCATTTATTAGCCATGTTTTATCATTTGTGGTGTGGGTAGCTTTTGCTTTGTACATTTTCTTTTACCAAAGAATGAACTGAAATGTTGCTGTAATAATGGATTATATGAATATCTGCTGAGATATTGGTTTTATAAGGAGAACGTAGACATGGTGGCATAACCAAAGTTAGAAATGTTACTAAAATGTATATTTTTCAATGTATTTATGCCATGTTGCTTATTTCTGTCAATATTCAACTATTTGTAAATGTGTTGCATCTGAAAATATATATTTTTACCCTGTGAAATTCTGTGCGGTGTCACTTTAACTCTGGAGCCGAGGTTGTCTATGTAGTTCTGTTGTCTGTTCAGACTTCACTCTACAGTCTTTTAGTTCTTGAAAGTGTTCATCAGCAGCTCCTTTAACAGTTCTATAATTCTGGCAGTCCTGGAGACCCCACGGCCTCTTTAACAGCTCAGAAAACACACTGAACCTTTAAGGTCAGCCACTTCTACTGTTTCATTTTCTCCTCTACCTTTACTGACATCTCAGTGCTGTTGTGTTTATTTGATATATAAACAATGTGATCTAACAAAGCTGAAAACTGTGACTGGTTGTCACAAACTACATTTCTTAACAGGCAAACACATGCACAGAAATAAACCTAATAAATTAAGTGGCCTTTTAATTGTCACTGATGAAAGTAATCGATTAAAAGCCTTTGCATAGCAGTGTGAATTGTGTGCTGAATGCTCAGACATTATGACAGGCCAGCAATAAAGCAGCGTGGAGCTTTTTTTATACAGTGATAGGAAACAGAAAGCTCGGGTTCCACATACTGATCCATTTTACTATCATCAGAGTGGACATGCACACCAATTACTCTGAAGGTAGATTTTAATGAGATGTATGGGACTCTGGGATCAACAATAAAACGTTAGATTTGATGGAGTTAACACAAGTCTAGAGTTAATGTTGCTTTGCTGTGCATTCCATTTCTGTTTCATAATTATTTAACACTTCGCTATACAGGATTTTAAAAATTTTGTTAAAATTGAAACAAGTAGCTTTACCAAGGAGAAAAAACTATAAAGCCTGCTTTAAAAGTCAAAGCTGGCTTTTAAAAGTCAAAGGCGTCGGGTCAGATTTCCCGGGGGTTTCTCAGACCAGATACGTCTTTATGTATTAACGTCACACACATAGATTTAAAGAAGGTCCATCTCGATGTTTAGGCCTCAAAATCAACATTTTACTGATGAAGATATGATGACAATAGTAGATAATGTGGATAATTCACACATCCTTCACCGTATTTTGACAGAGTTCCCTTTGAATACTCTTTCATAGCACTGGCAATCATCAGATTTATCCACTTGGGAAAGGGGTCCAAAGCCCATGTTACAAAATGTTCTACTGCACATTGTGTGCAATTACACATTTCCACCAGAGAGGGCTCCAAATCTTACACAGTGTAGCTTTAAATATAATGACAGAATTAATCGCATACTAGTTACATAACTACATTTCCATTCAGTTTTCATTTAGTTATTTAGCATTTTTAATATTCTGTTTGGTTTTATAAAAAAAGTAAAAAATACTATGGATAGCTTTTCTTTCCCCAAACACACAACAATGACTTTTCATCTGATTCAGATCATAAAATATATCCTCTACATACAAACACAAATGTAGTGTGGATTGACTTATTAAAATCCCAGGCTTATTACATAATAAGGCTTTTTATTTAGTAACTACAGGGACTTCTATGCAAACTGGCTGAGTTGTTTTTAAGTTAAAGAAGTGTGTAATAAAACTTTGGCCCTGCTTGTGGGCCATGTAAGGGGTTAAATGTTTAAGAGCACCGGTCACTGAATTCTACTTGTTAGAATGAGCAAAAGCGTTCAACAGTCGGAAAAGTCGGAGACTACCCATCATTTGTTTAATTTCCAGTCAAAAAGGCCATGAAGTACGTTCTTTCATTATTCGTTTTCAGGAGATATTTCTGATTAGATTAGATAGAAGAGAATTCACTTGCATGAGGGAGTGAAAGTGACTCAAAAAAGAAGTAAAAGACATGAGTTCTCAAAACAGGTGTTAAAAATTATTAGAATATACAGAAAAAAAATTGGAAAAAAAGAAATTGGACTCCTAACAGCCATGCAAGACCTGGTAGACACCTGCACTGTCCCCATCAGCACCTGAAGCTTTCATCTTTGAGAGAGAGGAGAAAATCAAGCTGAAAACATCCACAGGTGTTTCTGTCCATCCTTCCACTGTGAGAAGACAACTCAGTGCTATGAGTCTGAAAGGATGTGTAGCTGTTAAGAAGCTCTTACTGAGAAAAGGAGACACGTCAAACAAAAAAGCTGAACAATGGACTGACCACCCCAGAGTCCAGACCTTGACACCACTGAATGTGTTTGGGTTTACTGACTCTGAGAAACAGAAAATGCTAAACCAACTTCTAAGACTGAACTTTGTAGGTGTGGAAAAACATCCATGCAGACTTCTTTGAAAAACTGAAAGTGAGTCTTGTGAATAGAACGGAAGCTGAAATAAAGGTTAAGAGTGGACACACTGAATACTGACCAACATATTTTATATATTTAATATTTTATATTTATATTTAGTATGTTAGTAACCTGTACTTATTGACCATTTTGATTGTAAATGAAATAAGTGGTTGCTGACTTTTGCACTGTACTGTATGTAGTACCATAACAAGGTTCTATGACTTGCAACGATAACGGAACTCTTTTTAGTGCTGTATAAAACCATGTTGTTTTAAAAGGCTACATATATAACTTTATTATTATTATTATTATTATTATATTATTATTATTATTATACATACAGCATTAGGATCTCTGGGACCCCAAACAATGGATGTTGGCATTGTTGAGGCAGTTGGTGTTGTGGACGTGACTTGTTTGAGGCTTTTTTTAACCTCTATATGCAGCTGGCTCGGGGGCTGAGGGGCTGGGCTTAGACTGCTTTTTATTTTTACATTCCCAAATCCCTGTGCCCCCTTTAGAAGCGTATTCTATTGCCCTTTATTGTCAAACTGCCCTTACATTTGTGTATCACCGCAGATTACGTGTTGTCTTGGCTAAGCAGCCTCATTATGTGGGTGAGATAATGGATAAGCGCTCAGTCAGTCCCTCCCGGAGGGCGCGGAGGTGGTGGGGGAGGCAGCTGTGCAGAAATACAGGCGCAGAGGAGTTGCTTCCAGCAGCCTAACGCAGCTCACCTGCTGGTGCTCACCTGTTCTCCATTTCACCATGGACAGCTCCTGCAGCCACCTGGACGCTGCTTCTTTTCTGCACATCTGGAGATTGTTTGATGCTCGTGGTAAGACACCGAGGTTCTGTTTATCTACTGCACCCTGAATTTCATCATTGCTGGACTTTTTATCATTAAATTCACCAAACGCATGCAATGCTTTCCTTTGCCGTTGCAGATCGGGGCTATATTGAGGGAAAGCACTTGGATGACTTTTTGGGCCACGTTAGGAAGAAATTAGGGAAGACAGTAAGAATCACTGATCTTTGACTTGTTTTGTTAAATTTCCCTTTTAACACAGCTAAATGTGCTTGTCTGTGTGCCACAGTGCCAGCTTCTCTGTTATGTGCTTGTTCTAGACACTTAAAAAAGATGGTTCTTCAAGGTCCTGTAGTAAAGGCAATGGTTCTATTCAGAATTCTATATAGGACTATTTCATGCTTAAATGGTTGTTTGCATCTTAAAAATTGTTCTTCAGATTGATGGAGAATGTGGTGTCTGTGGTTCTATATAGAGCCTTTTTGAAAATGGTTCTCTATAGATAAACAGGGTTCTTCTGTTTTTTACGATGTCAAGCTTTTTTATATATAGAACCAAAAGCTTCTATACTGAACCGAAAGCTTTTTTAGGTTGATGGAGAATGTGTTGTATATGGTTCTATATAGAAGCTTTTGGTTCTATATGTAAAAAAGGTTTTTCTGTTGTTTATGATGTCAAGTTATAACAATAGAAGCAGCCTTTTTATATATAGAACCAAACATTTCTATACAACACATTTTCCATCAACCTGAAGAACCATTTCACCATGCAAGGAACCATTTCAGCATGGAATGGTTATATACAGAACTCATGGTTCTTGAAGAACCATCTTTTTTAGGTGCGTAGCTGCTTATCAGAGGTCATAGACTTTGACTGTGAACCTGTATATCGTCGCTGTCAGAGCAAAACCTCATATCTCTGAAAAAGTAACTTTACTAGAGGAGGGAGAAACTTTTAATATAAGTTCATGTAAAAACTATTTTGTCATTTCGGGCCATTTCTTTTGATTCACTCATGAAATTTTGACCCCATGTAACTGGTACCTGGTATTCATTTGGTAAAATTATGTAAACAAATTAAAAACATTGAGAAAAATGAAGATTTTACACCAGCAGTGACAACATGCTCTGCTCTGCTTTACTTTTGCTCACACCTCTGACTTTTGAGCTTTAGTATTTTATGTCATGTTATTTTACAAAATAACATAATGATCTTCAGTTCCTATGCTGATAGATGCTTGTTGTACTAAGAAATTCACTGGCAGCTCTAAAGCGAAGTCACTGCTGGAGGTGTTTTGTGACTTTGGTGTTTTTTATAACAGTAAGTTTTACATCTACTGCTTATGTTTTACTGACAAACTGTACTGTTTAAATGTGGCTTCTACACTTTAATGTGAGATTTTAATGGCTGGTGCGCTCGTCGTCACCTGTGTTGTCTCGTAAAACAGTCTGTCTGACGTCTGTATTGTTTGAACAGAATCGATGAATTGCCATTAAAATTGAATGATATTTACTCTCTGCAAATAAAGGAAAAGGCCAAAGGGCGCTTTCTTTTAGTCACACAATGCGTTTGCTCTGAAAAGCCTATTAACATTGGCTTTGTTTTAAAAGGACAAGCAGATGGAGGAGAAACTGCAGAGGCTCAAAGCTGCCAGCACTGATGGAAACCTGCAGATCCAAGAGGTTACTGAGCTACTGAGACTATCTATCCCTCCATCCATCCTTCCATGCATTGATCCATTCCTCATACATCCATCTACCAGTCCCTCCATCCATCTCTCCATCAATCTACCCATCCCTCATACATCCATCTAGCTCTTCATCCATCCATCCATCCATCCCTTGGTCTTTCTATCCATTGTTCCCTCCCTCCCTTCCAGCCTCCATCGTCCATCCATTCATCCATTCATCCATCCACCAATCCCTCCTTCATATATCCATCCATTCATTCATCTATCCATTCATCTGTCATTCATCACCCCTCCCACCTCCTTCTCTCCATCCATCCATCCATCATCCATCCCTTCCTCCTTCCATTCCACCATCCCTCCATTCATCCATCCCTCCATTCATTCATTCACCCATTCATTACCCCTCCCGCCTCCCTTTCTCGATCCATCCATCCCTTCCTCCCTCTATCCATCCATCTTTTCATTAATCCATCCCTCTAATCATCTATTCATCCATTCACACATCCCTCCATCCATCTTTATAGCCCTCCCTCCCGCCATCATTACCTTCATCCATCCTTCTATTCATCATTACCTCTCCCTCCATCCATCCATCAGCCCTCCTACCTCTCTACTTTAGTCCATCTGTCCATTCATCCATCTTTCCATCCATCCATCCATTAATCCATCCCTCCATCTATCCTTCCCTCCCCCTCAATGCATCCATCCATTCATCATCCCTCCCATCTTCCTCCCTTGATCCATCTATCCCTTCTTCCTTCAATGCATCCATCCACCCATTCTTCCATCCATCTTTCCAGCCCTCTGTCCCTTCATCTATCCTTTTCTCCCTCCATCTGTCTGTCCACCTGTCTCTCCTTTTCCCTCTGTATCAATAGAGATCTTTCTCTTTCTGTTTGCTCTCTCTCTCTCTCTCTCTCTCTCTCTCTCTCTCTCTCTAACTGTCTCTCTATATCTACCCCCTCTCCAACTTTCACATTCACAGTTGGCCACTATCATCCTGCCAGAAGTAGAGAATTTCTTGCTGCTGTTCCGCAGAGAGACGCCGCTGGACAACAGTGTGGAGTTCATGAGGGTCAGTTTGCACATTTTTTGTGGTTAAAATATTTGTTAAGCTGTAGCTTAACTAAACCACAGTTCACAGTAGCACATCTTTCTTAATGTGTTTACAGTCAACCCTGTTTCTTCATTCAGTAATGCAGAACTACTGTCTTTTTTTAGGTTTGGCTAAATGGATCTTGACTTGGGTTTACAATTCTAGGAAAAACTTTTAATTGTGGAAGTTATTTCATCTTTAGGGTTCCTTGTACAGGCCATTTATAATGTGGTTCTTTAAAGAACAATCCATTGAAAGGTTCTTTAGAGAGCTGGAAAAGGTTGCTCTATGGCAGTGGGCTACACTGTACTGCACATTATAGTGATTTCACTGCTCCCAACACACCTGATCCAACTAAGCAGCTAATTAACAGGCCCTACCTAATGTAGTGGGTGTGTTAGAGTGGAGAAAACACTACAAAGTGCACTGCAGGGGGTACGCCAAGACCAATGCTGGGAACCAGTGTTCTGGTATCCCTCAAAGAACCCCTTTTGACACCTTTTTTGTCAGATTGTAAGGCCTCTCGCTGTTTGTTAGGTAAAGCCAGTTATTGTACTGACTGGGTTGTATTGAGTCTGGATTAAGTAATGAAAAATGAGCCTTACAAGGACTGACCCCTGTGTTTTTTGCAGATTTGGAGGCACTATGATGCTGACAGCAGTGGATTTATATCAGCTGTGGAACTGAAGGTATCACAGACCTAAAAAAGTGAAAAAGTTTGTGAAAACACAAACATGAGTCTTTGGTAAAGACTGTGGGGCAAAATAACTAGCCTGATCTTTGTAAAAAGAACAGTTACCCTTTGATTTGTCTCAGGTGCACTGAGAGGTGAACTGTGGACTTGCTGTGGGTCTGAACTTGCTTACTGATAGATGCATGGAGTGATATGAGAGTGTTAAGCAGCTGGATGTTTCTTTTCTCTGTCTCTGCCCAACCAGAGTTTCCTCCAGGATCTGTTTCAGCAGCACAATAAGCACATCACCCCAGACAAACTGGAGCAGTACACCGACACTATGGTACAGTCCCAGCTCCATCATACCAGTGTCAGACACAAAGACAGTGATGGCGAAATGTTACTCACTGTTTTAACCCCTTCCATGAACCTGTCGGCAGGTCAAAACTTCTGTTCAAACATCACACTGCTGTAAGACGTATTGTTCAGGGTTTATATCAGATTGCTCATTGGATGGGTAGATTTTTTGCTCTGCTGTTCTCTTTCAGATGAAAATGTTTGGCAAAAACCAAGATGGCCGCCTGGACTTAAACGACTTGGCCAGGTACTAGAACTTATTTAAATATCGCTGCTTTCAGAACAAATCTGTTATCTCCATTTTTGTCATTTTTCATTTTTTTGCCATAATTTAAAAATGCCTGTCGCACTTTACATTGTGTGCAGCTTTAATGATTAATAGACCAAAAGAAACTGCCCAAAATTACTTGGAAATAAGTCTGGATACACTGACTTACATTAAAAGTAAGGTTTTTTTCCTTCTGTAAAGTTGTCATTTTGGAGATACAAGTTTTTTCTGACAGCAGCGATATGTAGATCTGAATATGCAATACTCTGGAAAAGTCCTTGCACACTGTTTGAACCACTATAACTGTTTATCTGGGCAATAAGTGTATCTTGTAAAAAAATATATAACATTAGCATAAATACAATTTAACATAGAAGCAGTGCAAAGTGTTGGTGTTGTTTTCAGAAAAGTAGTTGAGATGAGCTGCTTAGAAGTTTGGTGCACTTACGATTGCATGGATTTATTAAATTCCATAACCAGCACACCTGATTTAATTTAATGCTTTTATTGAGCCAATTCAGGTACAGCATGAAAACTAGAAATAATACTGGGCTGCCACAAGGAGAGGTTTGGAAATGGTAAAACAACACACTGAAATAAATAAATAAATAAATGAGCGCATGAGTTTTATTTATTTAGGACTTTTTAATACTGGTGGCAGCTTAAAGTGCTTTAGAGACAGGTGATAAAGTCTAATAGTATTGAAGAAATGAGTTTGGTTTTTTTCTTCTATTATAGTTCAGTAATCGCAATACAAAGAAAAAAGTTTAAAGTATTAATTCAAAATTGCATGAAGCAACAACATAGATTGCTAAAAGATAAATAGAATAAGAAGAGAGGTGTAAATTGAATATATACTAAATTAAATGTTTTCAAATGTTTCTTAAAAGTGAGCACTGAGCTTGACTGTCTGATAAAAGGTGGAATTGAGTTCCACAGCTTAGAAGCATAATAACTGAACGAGTCTCTCCATATTTTCTGTATTTTACAGAAGGTCATTGCAGAAGGTCAGTATCTGTGGATCTAAGATGACGTGCTAGAACATAAAAACAGAGACACTCTGTGCGATGTGCAGGTGCTTTAACGCCATTTAGGGCTTTAAAGAATAAGCAAAAAATAAGCACATTTTTAAAATCTATCCTGAATGATACAGGCAGTCAGTGCAGTTATTTTAAAACTGGGCCGATATGATCTCTCTGTTTTGTTTTCATTGGGATGTGTGCTGCTGCATTTTGAGTTGGAGGGATATATTGTTTTCTTAGTAAGTCCAGTAAAAATATCATTACAGTGATCAACTCTGCCTGTAACAAATGCATGAACAGGTTTCTCTGCACCACTCTGAGATAGAAAAGGCCAAACTTTAGCAACATTTCTCAAATGATTAAAAGCTACTTTACTGACTGCGTTTACTTGAAGATTAAAACAGAGCTCAGAGTTTAAGATCACACCCAGGTTTTGTACTTCAAGTTTGGTAGATGAAGCTAAAGAACTGAGTTTCTCACAAAGCAGCTTTCTCTGAGTTTTAGTACCAAAGATTAGTATTTCAGTATTTTTCTTGATTTAGTTGGAAAAAAAAATCATGACATCACTGAGAAATATCTGACACACAGCTGGTAAGGCTGTCAGCAGTGTCTAGATTTTCTGATGGAATGGAATGCCTTTGGCATATCTATGAAAATTAATTCATGTTTCCTGATGACATTTATTATATTGATGTTATTTGTATTTATTCTAATATTAGGCTTTTTCTGAGCAAATTAATACTTACTGAGCAGATAAAGAGCTGTTCAAACATAGGTGCCTAAAACCTATGCACTGCATTACAGGATACCATTAATGTTGATGTGTGTCTGACCTGGTTTTGAATGGAGTGGAAGCTCACAGTGAGTTCTCTTCTCTTCTTCTGTGCCTCCAGAATTTTGTCCTTAAAGGAGAACTTTCTGCTGAAGTTTGAGATGGATGTAAGTAGTTCTCGGGGACAAACCACCTCCAGAAATATCAGTTAGTTTAATTTAAATGTGTTATATTGAGTAACTTGGTGGATGCTTGGATATGTTGACCAACCACATTTTGACTTTGGTGAAAAAACTAGCTTCAGATTTTTTAAAACATCAGCGTAAAGATATGAGCAAAATCTGTCAGAGTGGTTTGGTGTGAAATGCTCCATGGTGGTGATAGGAACCAGACGTCTGAATAGTTTAACACCTCTAAAAGCTCCCTTACAGAAAGTTATTACAGAGCAATGGTTATGAATACACTGCCTGATGTCTGAGACATCATGCTATGATGGTTTTGAGAGAAGATTTTGGCCTAAAACATATTTTGAAAAATCTGTTCATGGTAGAGAGGCACATGCAGGGCATTCTAAGACAAAACAGTGCCAGAGGAAAAGTAGTTTTTTTCAGATTTTTACTATTTCACCATCATTAACATTACATATAAAAGCTCATGTGTAGGTTCACTGGTGGTTTTGAATAGTAAATAAATTGGCTATATTTGTATTGTAGACATTGTGACCCCTGGTTCCTATCACCACCACTGTAAAGAAATCTGAGTGGGTAAATTCCTCCACAATGAACTGCTGCATGTCAAGTCACTCTGAATGATTTAATAATGCAGACATTTTTTAAAACATATGGAATTTCCCTTTACACTGCGCTGTTCTCTCTCCAGGCCTGCAGTCAGAAGGACAGGAAGAGAGATTTTGAGAAAATATTTGCTCATTATGATGTGGTAAGTGTGAAAGTGTAATTCAGAACCTGAGCGAGACGGTTTAGATCTCCTCTTCTAACCCTTTGCGTGTCTGTATGTTTTATTAGAGTAAGACAGGAGCGCTGGAAGGACCAGAGGTGGATGGCTTTGTTAAAGACATGATGGAGCTGGTCAAGGTAAAAAATTTCAATTAAAATTTGTGTAATGTAAACCAGTAGTTTGTGATTCAGAACTAACCCATCAGTTTTTATTATGTTTATTTTGGCTTAAGAGATTTCTTTTACTGAGAACAGGAAACTGTGTCAGAATTATTGGAGTATATTTAAAGCTACTGCAACTCATCTCAACTAGTCTCATCTGCATATTGCCAGGACTTTTTAGTGTCTCTAAATACAGCGCAAGGTCTTCGTTTACTTGCCATTGTTTCGACTATACAGTCATATACAAAAGTTTGAGACAAATGACGTTGATTTTCTGACTGAAAATATGTGAACATCCTCTACAGAGAACACACTTAAATATGGTATTTTCTGCTAATTGCACACTTTGTGTTTATTTACTTTGTATTTATTGAGTTTAACATATTGGGAGAAATATATAAACATATTAAATGTGCCATAACTTTTGCACAGGCCACATTTTATGTTTTCTTTTTCTAATATGTTACATGAACAGTAATTGTGCACTAAAATCTACAGAAGTGTGTTCTCCATATAGATTATATTGACTTATTTTCATTTCAAAATCAACAAAACATTAAATCTGTAAATTGAATGGGGTGCTCAAACTTTTGCACATGATTGTATCTAACAATTACTGAAAGCGAGAGATGCTAATTATCTTAGCTTAACCACTTTAAGCATTTTTAACATTACAATAAATACAGACTAATAAGTAAACAATCCTTTGTGATTTGGTGTGTTAACACTTATTAATGTGTTTTTATTGTGTTTAAATGCTGTTTTTAATGGTAGTTGTACATGATTGTTTGATATAAGGAAAGCTGTAGACATGCTGTCTGTTTTACTTCAGCACAGTTGTCTTTGTGGGGAGGTGTGAAGAGTTTTCACAGCGGGGGATTCTCACCCCTCCCCTTTTATCACTCATTGCTCACTAGCAGCTCAACACAGTCACAATATTTCACAGACAGAGAGCCGACAGTGTCCTAGTTAACATGAAAGAACAGTGATGGGGAAAATATTTTTTGTTGGTCATACTAATCCAGAATATCTCAGATTTACATTCTGCTGGTGGAATAGCAATTAGGGGGCCTGCAGAAAGAGCTATATCCCACCAAAACTACTACCACTTCTACATCTGCCCAATTAATGAACGTCTTAAGAAAAGTCCCTGATTGGTTGTATCAGATGCATTAGTGTTTTGTTGGAGGTGGAGGGGGGCAGCATATTAGATGCAGGGATGGGGGAGTAGCTAAGTAGTGCGCTACTTTTTGTAGCTAACTACACATTTTTGTAGCTAATATCTGTAGCTGCTACAGTTTTATGAAACGTAGCTAATAACTGTAGCGCCTACAAATTTTTGTGTAGCTATAGCGATTATTTTTGCTACAATTTCGCTACAGGCTTGAGGCGATCCACACAACATCTGAATGATGGAACGCAGCCATTAACTGAACTAGTGGCGCAATCCTGACAGAGCCATGGACAGTTTGAGCAAACGGTCACGCACTGGTGACCCTTTACTAGTAGGCTTAACTCAGAGGTCATAAAAATATAATATAAACGAAAACGCAGACTAACTATGCTCTGCTTTAACTTTTAGGTCAGCTGTAGCCGCTTTCTCGCATCTCAGTCAGGAAACTTTTCCAGAAAGAGTTTCTTGTAAAATGTCTCTCAACGTTCAACTTTTTATGAGGCTGTCAATTGCGCTTTAAAAGTAGCTAAAAAGTAGTGCACAATTTTTTTAAAAAAGTAGCCACTCCTTTTTCTGGAAAAGTAGCTAAACTGTACCTAGCTGCAAATTTTGGGAAAGTAGTTACAAAGTAGCTAGCTACTAATTTTTCAGTAGCTATCCCAATCCTGATTAGATGTAGGTTGGAACTAACCTCTGCAGGAAAGCAGGTCTCCAGGAGAAGGCTTGGTGACCACAAATGCACATAGTTTTTCCTAATCAATCTATTAATAAAATAAATCAGGTGTGCTGCTGATGAAATTGAACCAATCCATATAATGGATAGAGTGCAGTGAGATGTCAGAAACCAAACTTGTGACTGTTCTTGTGGTTCTTCTAACCAACTTATTGTTGCTGTCCAACAACAATATATATCTCCAAAATAGCAACTTTACAACAGGGATGTTTTCAGTGTAAGTTAACATAAAGAGATTTGATTCTAAGACATTTTGGAGCATTTCTGTTGGTCCATTCAACATGACATTTCCACACAATGTAAGCTTTTTTTTGTGTTATATGTATACAAATACATTTCAAAACAAGAAAATACTGCTACTTTTTACTGTGATGGTGTTGATTTGTAATTATTCTGTTACATTTTTACAGACAAAAACACATTTACTGCATAGATAAATATTTTCAAACTATTCTGTGATTCTGCCTGAGAAGTTGACAGCTGTATTTGCTTATATTGCTGATGTTCTTTTGTCCCTCCAGCCCAACCTGAGCGGCTCAGACCTAGACAGGTTCAAGCGCGCCTTGCTCAGCCACTGCGATGTGAATGGAGATGGAAAGATCCAGAAGAATGAGCTAGCGCTGTGTCTGGGGCTGAAACTGACTCCATAAACACAGAGAAGCACGCTGGACCGTTCCTGACCTACACATACTATACTGAACACATTCACAAGCTAACTGCTAATGCTAACCTTCCACATAGCGTTTAGAGCAATAAGGGGCATAAAGACTGAGCACTACAGAGGTGGGACACAAGACATGGAGATACATGTTGATGGCTTTTATTTAATGCTCATTTGAACCTTTTAAAGTAATAAGATATTATGGTTAATCGTTTAACTGAAAGCTGTGTCGCTTTGTGAATAGGTACTTTACTCAGTTTGGTGTTTAGTCTAAATAATCACTTAAACCTTTACCTCATTGTATGCATGCTGTTATTGATCTTTTAGATTTGATGTTTCTGGTGGTTTTGGGCTGATGAATAGATAAATGTGATTTACTGTTGTGCTGAAAAAGAAGTACTGCTTCTTGCTTTACCACTCTGACAGTGAAACAAATAGTAACAGTAAATAAAAAACAAACTAAAGTAAATAATGTTATCATTATTATTATTTTATTGTTATAAGTAATAATAAAATCATATTAATAATAAGAAGAACATTATTATCCTTATTTATTTGGCACTTTTCATTTTATTTACAAACTCTCACAGCACTTTGGACAGTAAAACAATAAACCAATAAAAATAATAATAAAAAAATAATATTATCTTCATCCTTATTTGTATAGCATGTTTTTTTTGTTGTTGTTGTTAAACAATCTCAATGTGCTTTACACAGGAAAGCTAAAACATTCCAGTTTTAAATAAAAAGTTCAAATGAAATCACTACACTCATATGCAAAAGTTTGGGCACCCCTGGTCAAATGTTTTGTTGTTTTTTTAAGAAACAACACGTCCTCTACAGACAACATTGCAAGACATATTTCTGCAAAATGTGCAAAAGTTTTGCACAGGCCACATTTTATGTTTTCCCACAGTATGTTTAATTCAGTAAATAGACAGTAGTTCTGCAATAAAATGTGCAGAAGTGTGTTCTCTATAGAGGGTGTGTTAACTTTTTCCCACTTCAACAAAATCAACAAAACATGTCATTTGAGCAGGGGTGCCCAAACTTTTGCATAGCAGTATACATATTTACTCACTAGAGAAGAAGTAGAAACATGGAACTAATACAAAGCTGGTTCTGCACTCCATCTGTCCTTGTGTAAATGCAGGCCGTCTGAACTGTAATCCTCATGGTCATTGTTCACTCCAGTAGGTCTCTAAATGGACATTGTGTTGATGTCGGTGGTCCAAACTAAACCTTTTAGACTTGTGGAGCGGGTTTAGCAACTATGTGTTTTGCAACCACTTGGAGAGTCAGTGTGAAGGGAAATGGGGTGAAAAATTGTTGCCTGTTGTAAAGCCACACTGGTGGGCACTCATGTTTTTCTATTTTCGTCACTGTGTTGTTGTGGTGCTGTTGCAGATGTCTGGCCCACTCACTGTGTGTGTTTTTGTGCAGATGTCTGGACCCCCTCCTCTTAGGCCTGTGCGTGATAGCAGTAATCCACGGCCGCAGCAGCCTGTGTAATGATCATGTGTGCGCGCCTACCATTAGAGACCCGTATCTGTGCATTTATGCTGTCACTCAAACAGACTTGACCACATATTAGCCCCTCCCCTCTCTAGCCAAAGTGAGCGTTACTGTCAGGCAGCTCATAATTACCTATTAATTAAAGAAGCACTGAATTGGTGAAGGCTTCCAGCCTTTCTGCCAGACCTTATTAATGCATTCAGCCATCATGAGTTTCGTAATGACGCCAAGACTGTTTTGGAGCCAGTCTGATTGGTTAAACTCACTATGTGCATTCCCTCCTGACCTTCTCCTGCTGAAATAAAATCACCAGCTAGCAATTAAAACACACATCCTTCTCCCCTCAAACTGGAGGAATGACTTTATTTTGGCACAACTGCTTCATATTACAGCTCGTGCTGCAGGCGACAGAGACTGTCTAATTAAATCTGTGTGATATCAAAAGTCACTTGTTTTCTATCTGTATCATAATTACAAACTACAATTATACAATGCTTAAGAATGTGAGTGTCATAAAATGAATGGGTTTTAATAATAAGGCATTTGATTTGATTTGACTTGAGAGAGAGAGAGAGAGAGAGAGAGAGAGAGAGAGAAACAAACACAGGAGGCCCAAAGAAGAACGTATATGTAATCAGTGCAATTCAAACTGAAACAGAGCAACATTTTCTCTCCTCGTGTAACAAATATAAAGATCTCAGAGAAAATTATTTCAACTCAGTTAAAACTTACATCCCATCATTTGGTGAGAAAATGATCAAATCTGAATATTTGTTATGCATGTGTTTAGGAGAGACACCAGAGTGTGTTGAACTTTCAGCAAAATATGTTTACAACTGCCACAAATGCACAGAACAGAATGACGACAGAATGAATATTTTATTATTTTACTCGTTCTTTTATACATTGTTTTCTTCAACATTATCTCCATATTCTACAGTAACATTCTACTGATTGCTTTGGCAACAACTGTTCATTACAATTCATGCCAATAAAATCATTTGAATTTGAATTTGAGAGAGAGAGAGAGAGCGAGACACACACACAGAGAGAGAGAGAGAGAGAGAGAGAGAGAGAGAGAGAGAGAGAGAGAGAGAGAGAGAGAGACCCTGTGCCGATGACGTCACAATGGTCAAAACAGTAGCATCAAGAATTTGAGGGATGATGAACTTCCCGTCCTGTGAGATTATGAAACAAACTACTGTACAACATTTATAGCATACAATCTACAGCCTAACATAATATACAGCATAAAAGGCAACCTGTGGAGAGACAACGGTTCCTAATAGAAGAAGAAGAAGAAGAAGACAGTAAGTTGCTTTTTTGTAAGTCAACTTTAAGTAGAAACATATTATATATAAACAGTGAAGACTTAAGCTGCTGATTATGGTGATGAGTGGAACCACTAACGCTCATAGAGCTGCCAAATCTGCTGATCTGCGTCTAAACGGTGGACAAATTGTAAACGGGCAGTTCAGCCTTTAACTAGTGAATGAGAATGTTCACCTATAACTGAGGGCCAGTATCAGCTCCATTATTTCAGTCAGAGAGGCTCAGTGCGTTCATTCTCACACGGTTTAGTGACTGACCCTGTCTATGTGCTGAGGAGGTTCCAGTCAGCAAAACTGATTTCAGGCTGATTTTAGACCCCTTGATTTAGTCAGTAGTCTAATATATGGAAGGTTAATGTAATCTTTACTTTCCACAGTGTGAAATTTACTGAGATGGTGTGGGACTGGGTTGAAGTTAGAGCTCAGCTTTTAAACTTTATTTTGGAAGAAACACTCACAGCACAATACCGCCTTAAATCTGTCCTCTTATGCATGACTGTGAAGTGATCGAGCCTCTGAACTAGCTTTTAGGGTGGAAACTCTGAGGCTGATGCGGCCTCAGTTATTTTAATAGAGGATCCAAGGGGGTGAAATGGCATGCACGGTTTGCCGTTGTGACGTCATAGAATCCCAACTACTGCATGACATCACAAAACAGAACACGTTTAAACGCACACAGTAGACACGACTATTGTGACGTCATAGAATCCGAGCTGTCTGTAAATACAGACAGTGGACGCGGCTATTTCAGTCGGACTATTCCGGACGTTAACAGGCTGCGTGTTGTTGCTGAACAAACTATCAGAGAAAGTATTCTGAATCATTAAGGTGAGCTCAGCTTTCTTTTGCATGTATTTGGCTACTAGACGGATATTCTGATCTGTGTAGTGTTCTTACAATTGACCACGCATTGATTTATTTGCAGCATAATTCTTAAAACACTCTTTAGTGTATGTTGTATTGTATACATTCGTATATATTTGTAAAATTTTGTATAAAAAACGTAGTCACTTTAAACAAGACACTTAAATTTCTGTTGTTTTGAGCGTTTACTGTAAGATAACTTAGATAATTGTGCATTGTCGATCATTTTAAGTGTCCTCATAACTTGAAACAAATTCACTCTGGGATCAATAAAGAAAAAATCTAATCTAATCTTATATCTATATCTTATCTAATATCCAATGTTTTTCTCTGTACAGATGGAATCAGTACATGAGAAGGAGGTGACACTGTTTGAGGAGATGAAGGAGGAATATTCAGATAGAGAGGAAGAAAGAAAGCTGCAGAGAACGCTGAAGGAACAGAATGAAAGGGCAGAAAAGCTGCTCCAGGACCTGGAGAAACAGCGAGAGGAGGAACAGCAGAAAGAGAGAAGGGAGATGCAGCTGGAGGTCGAAAGAATAAAGGAGGCGAGAAAGAAACACGTGGAGAGAGAAAGGCAGCGGAAGAGAGAGTGGATGAACAGGATGATGTTCACTCTCACAGAGAACGTTTCCTGGGCCAAAAAGAGAGATGGACGCAGAGGTGCTGGTGGGAAAAGAAAGAGTGGCTTCGCTAACCTGGGACAGAAGAGCTCTGACCACAAGGAGGCCCTGCAGAGGAGTCTAGATCACCCACACCTTCTCCAGCTGTCCCCCCCACACAGCCACACGCAGAGGAGAGTGTGAGGACTGAGAGCAGCAGCGTCCCTGAGGAGCTCATTCCAGAACCTCAGACTGAGTCAGAGGAGGCTGTGGAGTCTCCATCTAATACCTCAGAGGATGATGAGCTGGATGTGGAGGTGTTGGATTTGACCAGCCAGGACGTCGGGACTGGGAAAGGGAAAGGTCCTAAATACAAGAGCATGAGGAGGAGGATCATCGGCTGGATCAACAAAAAAGTGAACGAGAGACACCAGAAAGCCATCGCCAAGAGCCTCAAGAAGGAGGAGGAACATGGACACGAGATCTTTATGAGTGAGTTACTCTATAGGTGCATCTCTGAGACTCCTTAAAAAAATGAATAGAAAACATTCAAATGTGACTGTAATGTTCTGTAGCACCTGTAGGGGTCACTGTAATATTATTTATGTACATCGTAGATGACAGAGGTTGACTATGGACTTAAGTAAGATCAGGGATCAGTGTTGGTCAGACACATAATTTATAAGTTATTATATCTGCATTACTGACAGACTGAACTCTTCCTCTCTGAACAGCACCCATGGGCATACGGATGACTGAGGCGCAGTACCAGCAGGCGAAAAGGGAGAGGCTGTACATATATGAGGAGAGGAGACGGGCTCTGGAGACTCGCTGGAGAGAGTGGGAGGAAAAACGGGCCCAGAAGAAAGCAGAGAAGAAGGCAAAGAAGGAGAAAAAGTAAAGGTGGAATTGGAGGAGAGAGCAAGATTATATTTCACACTTGCGAGTTCACAGACGATGAAAGCATGCACTTCTCAATAAAAACCTGAAAGAGCATCAGAGACGAAGTTGATTTCCTTTTTTGAAATGATTGCAATCAATAACTACTTTTCCCCCTCTAGTTCTCAGAGAACAAAGTTCATTTCGTTTTAGCAAAGGTATAACTGAAAAGTTTCTGCTTTTATAGTTCTTTATATCAGGGTGCTCTACTAGTACCAGCATAAAAGGTGAAAAAGAGACTTCTCACTTATTAATTTATGATTTCTGATCTTTTCTCATATTTTCTCCATTCATTTGTGTCGTTGCTACAGCTCTGTCATGTATCTGACCTTCAAATCCAGCTTTTCCTCCTTATACTGTGGACAGGGGGGGACTGGCTGACAAGCGTTATTGTTCCAATAGCTCAGTAAAGGAGACCTCCACCAATTTATCAACATTTCTGCATAATTTAAGCATTGAGATGTAAACAAAGTCATTCAGAGTGATGTAAAATGATTTATTATAGAGAAATTTAAAAATGTACTGACTCTTCTTACAGTGGCGATGATAGGAACCAGGGGTCACTATGTCTACAACACAAATATAGACATTTTATTTACTGTCCAAAACCACCAGTGAACCTACACATGTCTTCTAGGTTTTTATAAGTAATAGTAATGATGTTAAAATAGTTGTAAATCTAAAATAATACGTTTTTCAGGGACTACTTTGCCTTTCAACATGCTGCATGTACCCCTCCACTATGAATAGATCAAGAACTATATTTAAAGCAACATATTTAAAACTACCATAAAACAGTGTCTCAGACATCAGGCAGTGATCAGTCATTACTATTTCATGTAATAACTTTCTGTGAGGAAACTTTTAGAGGCATTGAACTCTTCAGACGTCTGGTTCCTATCACCACCACTGTGAGCAACTCTGACTCAGTATGTTTCTCTAGAATGGAGCATTTCACACTGAACCACTCTGAATGACTTTGTTTACATTTGAATGATATAATTATGCAGAAACTTTAAAAAATCGAAGGAATTCCTTTTTCAGGTTCACTCCACGGTGTTGATCATGGTACTAAAGCATTTAATTTCATTTTTAAAATTGTGGAGCGACCCTGTAAAAACCTACGCTCTCACACAAAGGCAGTTTCAGAGTCACAGCGGAGCTCCTTCCTCTGAGCTTTCACATACTCGACCCTCATGATGTGGAGAGGGTGAGGGTTTTTTCTCTTTAACTGCTCTCTCAAAAATAAAGGTGCTAAAAAGGGTTCTTTGGAGCTATGCCATACAAGAACCACCTCTGGTGTGAGTGTGAAAGACGTTTTTTAACTTTAAAGAAATACCACATGATATATATGTTCTATACAAATAGTTATGTAAAACGTTGGTTCTCTTGAATGTATTACAAATAATTCAGTAGCTACAAGAACAATAATGTGTCAGTTATGCAGTTTTGGAATTGAAGTATAGTACATTTAGTACATTTAGGCTCTTAAGGCCTGTTTTTCAGACCAAGATTAAGCCTAAGTCTAGAAGTTGTGAAGTTTCACCCCTGATTAACTCCACTATGTTGTAAACAGCACAGAGAAGCTTACACTTTTCCCTCAGAACCTTCACGTTCTCCAAGAGCAATGAAGAAAGAGTAATGAGTGTGACAGAGAGAGAGCACATACATTCTGTTTGTTTAATACTTTGTGACAGATCTGTTTGCTAAAGACATGATTTTGACTATTTTGGCAAAAAGACAAATTAATGGGACAAATGAGTTACAGCATACTGGCACTGATAAATATATAACACAAAAAGTCTATGATATATCATAATACATATATTAGGTGTGCTTATAAATAAAAGAATGCATAAACAAGTCAATTCCACATTTAAATATGTCCTTCAGGAAGGAGTATTAATTTAAAATCATATAAGGCAGTGGCACAGATTGGATAAAAAAGATAAATGCCAAAGAGGCACATTAAACACGAAGATGTGTTTTTGATTTAAACACTAAGATATGTTTTTAACTGATTCTTAAAAGTGTTCACTTTTTTGCTTTTGAGGTCTATATATTGCAATTATTAACACAAAAGTATCACTAAAAAGGTTGACTGCAACATACTCAAAAGACATACATTCACCAACAGCTGTATTTTTGCAATAGATATACACCTACACCCACACACAGTGGGGTCCAAAAGTGGGGTCTTTGAAATTTGGACACCACAATACTTTGACTGTATCTAGAAATGTGCCCAATCAATAAAATCTGAAACATAAAATCTAAATATAGAGATTTATGAAAGATTGAAATGAAACAAAAACAAATAACAATTGCAAGGCATAGAGTTATTCAAAGAAAGTTCAGTAGACTGAAAGGGTTCAGAAATGTGTCCACACACACAAACATTACTGCAACAAACATCAATGAATTTAAGAATCAGTGCCAGTTGAATTGTCAGTATCTTAGGTTATCAATGTTAATCCAAAACTGCCAGAAACAAAAAAAGTCTGAAGTGACTCCAGGAAGCCTGCATTCCATCTTTTAAGAGATGGGTAAAAAAAATGGCTACAGACATCCAGTCTGCAACCAAATACAGAGGTATTGAAATGATTTTTTTACATGATGTTGTTGCTACAATACTTGGCTTCTTCTTGGAATCTCTCAATTTTCTGCTCCACTTTGTCAGCCAGGCTGTGCAGGTTTGCCCTAATAAGAATGGCTGGGAGGTCAGTCAGCTGCTGTTCTGAAGCCGTACTGAGCCAAGACTGCAACGCCCCGTCATTCACGTCTAATTTAAGAATGCGATAAAGGCGCTGCAGGCGGCGCTGTTTCTGCTGGGCGAACAGCTCTGAGAGGAGAGGCTTGATGAGGGTGGGCCAGCCTGAGGGAGATCAAAAACATCTCAGTAACATATCAAACCAGACTGAGGTAGATCAAAAACATTATAGGAACATCAAAACAGTCAGAGGGAGACTAAAAACATTAAACCACCCTGAAGGAAACCAAGAAGGCAGACACCATTTTTGCCTGAATAGGTTGCACATATCGCACGTTTGGGTCTGCTAGTTTACTGTTATTTTTTGCTCTTTAATCTTGCTATCAACCCTTCTGGTTACCTGCTTTAACTAAGACACCTATTCTGTGTCTTACTGCGTTACCCTTATAACGTTGTTTTTTTGTTTTCAGTTCTAACTAACCCTTATTTCTCTATTTGGATGCTGACAAAATGGTGGCCGCCACTGAATGCGAGCTCCGGACGCTGAGCAGGGAGCTGCTGCAGTTGGATCAGCAGATCAGGGCTCTCCTAAAACGGCAGACCGAGCTCCACGAGCAGAAAACCTGTTTGGAAGCAACCCGGGACGTGTCCTACACAGCTGTTTCAAGACCTAGCCCGGTGGCGACTTCTACTCCACCGGATGGATCACCAGGATTGCCCGCTTTCACGCCCGCGCCGGAGCAGGGCTGGGAACGCCAGCGTGACCGGGGAAAGAGAAGGTTTTCACCAATTCCTCCTCCGCCGAGTTTCACCTCCAGTAACCGGTTCGAAGCCCTCAGCTCGTCGCCTGTTTCAGTGCCTCTGAGAAAGAGTCGGGAGAGTGTTATTATAATTGGAGATTCAATAGTGAGACATCTTAAAGTAACTTGCTCTGGAAGTAATTCGGCTGTCTGTTGTTTTCCAGGTGCCCGGGTCTTGGATATTTCCAAGCGGTTTCCCGCGGCTCTGAGCAAACACGGGGACGTTGGCACCGTAGTAATTCACGCAGGGGTGAATGACATCTCATCCCGTCAGAGCGAAGTCCTCAAGAAGCATTTCAGATTACTTCTAGACAACGTTAAGAAGAGAACCAAGGCCAGGGTCGTCATCTCGGGACCGCTGCCCACCTACCGGAGGTGTTCAGCAAGCTCTACGCACTGCACTGCTGGCTCCAAGGCTGGTGTAAGTACAACGGCGTCGGCTACGTGAGCAACTGGAGTGTTTTCTGGGAGCGACCGGCATTCTACCGCAGGGACAGACTACACCCGAGCCGCCGCGGGTCTGTTATCTTATCCGGGAATATCGAGAAAGTACTACACCAGGCCTGACTGGACTTAAATGTAGTAGACAACGGACGGGTAAGTAGTATCATCAGCAGACAGGTAAGTGCCTTTAATGATATAGACAATGTCCCCTTAACTGCTACCATTCCTCTCTGTTTCTGCTGTCTCAACACTAAAGCTAGTTGTGTAGGGAGATTTTGCTCCAAAAACGTCATTAGAGTCATCGAACCCCCATGTAATTAAAAAATCAAAGAAAAACGTGCGCGGTCATAACCCTGATCATTTAATTTGCGTAGACCTTAAAAAGACCAGTCCCCCCCAAACACATAGTGTACCTAGCAGAGAATTAAACCTCGCTCTACTCAATGTAAGGTCACTAAATAACAAAACTCTGCTGATTCAAGATCTTATCAAGGAGCATAAGCTGGATTTTATATTTCTGTCAGAAACATGGCTCAGTGATAACGGCACAGCAACTTTACTTGAAGCTGCTCCTGAAAAGTACAGATTTATGCATACAGTAAGACAGGGCAGACGAGGAGGAGGAGTGGCCTGCATTTATAATAGTGACTTTATCTGCAAAAGTACCTCCATTGGTGAACTCATGTCTTTTGAGTATGTTGCAATCAACCTTTTTAATGATACACCTGTGTTAATAATTGTAATATACAGACCTCAGAAGCAAAATACTAAATTTATGTCAGAAATTGCGGAATTATTATCAGTAGCGTCCACAAACTATGATAAGATTCTTCTGTCTGGGGACTTTAACTTACATATCGATAGTCCTTCAGATAGTAATGCATTAGAATTCATTAGACTTCTAGAGACATTTGATTTGGAGCAGCACGTGGGCAGCTCTACCCACAAGCTAGGTCACATCCTGGATCTGGTCATCACTAAAGGTTTAAAAACAAAGGTGTCTAAAATCTCAGATGTTTTCTTATCAGATCACTTCTGTATTTTATTTCAAATCAATTTAGAAGTAAAGAAGAAAGTACCTGAAAGTTACTTTAAAAAAATGTTACATTGACTCAGAAACAGTTGAGAAGTTTAAAACTGTTTTTAATAGTTCAGCGAATACAGATTCGACTCCATTGTGTAATGATCCAGTCTCCGATCTAAGTGCTAGATTACGGGAAGGCCTTGACCTTCTTGCCCCAATAAAAAGGAAGGAAAGCTTGCACGCTCTTAAAAATCCATGGATGAATGCGGAAATACGCCAGCTTAAGAGAAATTGTCGTAAATCAGAGCGCTTATGGAGGAAAACTAAACTGCAGGTACACTATGATATTCTCAAAGAGCAGATCTCAGTCTATAATAATGCTATGAAAATATCCAGACAGTCATATCTCTCTAGTGTAATCAATAGATACAAAAATAGTACCAAAATCCTTTTTTCCACTATAGACCGACTAATTAACCCTAACTTCTCTGCTAGCTTTTAGAAGATAATGATGATTTATCTTCTAAAATCTGTGAAGAGTTCGCAATTCATTTCCAAAATAAAATAGACCTGATACGATAGGGTGTAGCTCAGCAGACGCAAACAAGCTCCTATAATGTTCCTGATGGGTCACCTACATCAGTAATGACATCTTTCTCTGTTATCAGCTATGAGGAGCTCACAACTATTTTAAACAAACTTCATCCAAAGTTCATCCACATGTGTTCTTGACCCTGTTCCTACTTCATTCCTTAAGATGGTTTTTGATTGTGTGCACAATGATGTTTTAACTATTGTAAATTGTTCTCTGTAAACAGGTGTTTTTCCAGATGCTTTCAAAACTGCCCTGGTGAAGCCTCTGCTAAAACAGAGCATGGATCCTTCCATACTAAACAATTTTAGACTGATTTCAAACCTACCTTTTCTAAGTAAAGTCTTAGAAAAAGTTGCCTTCAAACAACTAAATATGTATCTAATATCAAACAATTTATATGAGAAGTTTCAGTCAGGTTTTCGTTCTAACCATAGTACAGAGACAGCATTGATTCGTGTTATGAATGACCTCAGGCTCAGCGCTGATGCACAAAATCCTTCTATTTTGGTTTTATTAGATCTTAGTGCAGCCTTTGATACCGTTGACCACAAGATTTTACTCCAGCGTCTTGAATGCTGGGTCGGCCTCTCAGGCACAGTTTTAGAAAGGTTTAAATCATATTTAAGTAATAGGGAGTTCATGGTTTCACTTGGAAATCATTCATCAAAATGATTTGCCGTTTCTTGTGGAGTCCCCCAAGGTTCAGTCTTAGGGCCTTTGCTTTTCTCTTTGTACATGCTACCTCTAGGTGATGTTATTAGGAAACATAGTATAAATTTTCATAGCTATGCTGATGACACCCAGCTATACATTTCTATTCCTTCTGAAGATCAAGACTCTGTAGACAGACTAACCAGCTGTGTGTCAGATATTTCTCAGTGGATGTCGCAAAATTTTCTACAATTAAATCATGAAAAAACTGAATTACTGATCGTTGGTACAGAAACTCAGAGAAAAATGATTTTGAGAAACTTGGTTCTTTAGCTTCATCTACCAAACCTGAAGTACGAAACCTGGGTGTGATCTTAGACTCTGAGCTCTGTTTTACCCTACATGTAAACACGGTCACTAAAGTAGTTTTTTATCATTTAAGAAATATCGCTAAAATTCGGCCTTTTCTATCTCAGAGCGACGCAGAGAAACTTGTTCATGCATTTGTTACAAGCAGACTTGACTACTGTAATGCTCTTCTTGCTGGACGTCCTAAGAAAACTACACATCCCTTACAACTTGTACAAAATGCAGCAGCGCGCATCCTAACAAAAACAAAAAAGAGAGATCACATCACTCCCGTTTTGAAAGAACTGCACTGGCTGCCTGTATCATTCAGGATAGATTTCAAGGTTCTGCTACTAGTCTTTAAAGCTCAAAACAACCTAGCACCTGCTTACATCACAGAGTGTCTGTCTGTTTATGTTCCGGCACGCAATCTAAGATCTGCAGATAGTGGCCTTCTACAGATACCCTCTGTAAAATACAGAAAACATGGAGAGGCCTCTTTCAGTTATTATGCTTCTAAACTGTGGAACTCAATTCCACCTTTTTTTAGACGGTCAAGCTCAGTGCTCACTTTTAAGAAGCACCTAAAACGTATTTCTTTAAATTAGCATTTAACTAAAACTGAATGTCTCGTGGTGTTTATCTTGTAATTTAATCTTCTTCATTTTCTTCTGATTCTAATTAAGTACTAATGATCTTTTCTATAACTATGTTTTATCACCTGTCTGTTAAGCACTTTGAGCTGCCACCGGCATGAAAAGTGCTACATAAATAAAATTATTAATATTATTATTATTATTATTATTATTATTAAGAACACCTCATTACCTATCACACCTGCCTGAAGGAGACCAAAGACATTTAAGTAACATTAAACCAGCCTGAAGGAAACCAAGAACATCTCATTAACACATCATACCTGCCTCAAGTAGATCAAAAACATCTTAGGAACATCAAAACAGTCAGAAGGACACTAAATACATTTTACTAACATCAAACCACCCTGAAGGAAACCAAGAACACCTTAGCAGCATATCAAACCAGCCTGAATGTGACCAAAGGCATCTTAGTAACATAAACCAGCTTGAAGGAAACCAAGAACACCTCATTACCTATCACACCTGCCTGAAGGAGACCAAAGACATTTAAGTAACATTAAACCAGCCTGAAGGAAACCAAGAACACCTTAGCAGCATATCAAACCAGCCTGAATGTGACCAAAGACATCTTAGTAACATAAACCAGCTTGAAGGAAACCAAGAACACCTCAGCATGATATCAAATGTGCCTGAAGAACATCAACATACACCATATTGAACGCACACTGGAAGCACAGCTAATGATGATACTAGTAAAGATATGGGCTGCTATTACAAAAATCAAAGAGATACCAGAAAAGCAATTTGAAAATAGAGAAAAAAATCACTCAAAAGAAGAACCAAAGTACTTTTGGCTAAGTAGACTATTCTGGCATTAACTCTGCTCCACCACAAAAAGCACCTTACTTGTACATGTTTTGTACTTGAACTCCAAACTCTAAGGAGTTCTAATAAATGACACTGGAACAGTCTCCTTGAAGCTTAGTGTTTCTGGGCGTTTCTGATCAGTGGTCTGCTTACCTTCTGTTGTGACGTTGTTGCAAGTAACACACATGTTGTCGTGCCAGTTGGTCCCGTGGATCACCAGCTTCTCATCACCCTTGCAGGCTGTGTGTGGGGTGCACTTTGTGATGCCTGCAGCTCCATTTGCATAGTGACCATCTCTGCATGGCTCACACTCTGTATCTTTGTATGGGGTTCCTGCACACAAAACAGTCCATTAGGAATCCAGCAAAAACTGTTCCAACTCACAACATGCACACCTAAACAGAGTAGAATTAGCTTTGAGAGTAGAACTGACTTTAACAGCACATTTGGCTCTGAGAGTAGAATTCGCTTCGACAGTAGAATTGACTGTGTAGGAGCCAGATTTGAGTTTACATTTATTTTCCTTGAGAGACGTTTATTTTGATTTAGATTTAATGGCGTTTCACTTGAGACTGTTATTTTGACACGCCACATGACACGCCACCAGTTAAGATGGTGTCTTCCTTAGGCACAGGTACAGCCTCATAGCTTAGACATGGAAGACGTTGGGAACAAAGTTTTTTTACCGCTTATGCTTATTGTTTAAAGCTTACTGCTTCATTTGTCATTTTGAAAACTTTGTACATTTGGAATCTGCACTTTAGAAACCCACCTTTTTGGTTATTTTGAACTTTCAAGCAATTTGATAAAACCACTGCATACCTGCCTGCCTGCTTGCCTGCCTGCCTATTCCTTTGTTTGCCTGCCTGCCTGCTTGCCTGCCGGCTCACCTCTCTCCCACCACCATTGAACACAGGTATGACTCACAGCCAAACGCAGTGTGTATAACAAGAAAGCGTGTAACAACTGAAACAGCGTTTAAACTGGATTTAAATTTTGGTCAATACAGCCTGTAAAAAGTAAGTAGAAAGTAGAATTGACTCTGAAGGTAAAACTAGGTAGGACAGTAACCAGCTCTGACAGTTGTGAGTTTTGTAAGTACCTTTGTTTTTGATCCATTGTCCAGCGGAACACACCGTGTGCTTCTTGCAGAAGTGTGATAGCCAGTAGTATCCCTCCTTGCACTGGCACACGCGGTTCTGGGAGGGCGTGCACGACTGTGTCTCCTCCTGGTTGAGGGCGCACGGGACGCAGGGCAGGCACTCGGGGATGTAGTTCCAGATCTCGGTGTAAAATCCTGCGCTGCAGGGGCGACAGTCTGTGGGGCGCGTGTCTGTGCAGTGGGCATGCAGGTGAGTGCCCGGAGGACAGCGATCACAGATCACCTTTTTACCTGATGGGAGCACACGCTCGTACGTGTTGCCGTTTGCTGATACGAAGAGAAGGAGAGGCACTGCTGCGAAGAGGAGCTGCAGATAAACAAACAAACAAACAAATAAAAGGTATTCAGGTGTTTAAAGCAGTCTTAAACCAAACACAAGCAAAAGAGCTGTTGCTATACAACCTGAAGGAGACTAAAAACATCTCAGTTACACGCAAACACTAGGCTACATACAGTGGCCCCAAAAAGTATTTGGACATTTGTGATACTTAAAAAAATGTCCTGTACACGTCTGAATTCATGATACCACCAAAGAACACAAGCTCACCCACACCAATGTAAGAAAAACAGCCCCAGACTTTAAGGATTCCTCCTCTGTGCTTCACAGAACTTTGTACTCCAACCAGTACAGCAGTCTGGTTGGAGTTTTCTCCAGGATTTCTCCACACTGAGAGTCAGTGTGAAGTTGTGCTTCTCTGTTTTTCTTATTTTGTTTAACATTTTATGATGTTATCTAAAGAAAAAACTTCATTAAAGTTTACCAACGGTTGAATACTTTTTGAAGCCACTGTACTGCAGCCACATTGCCACACACAACATAAGCACACAAGGGTATTTAGAGCAGACTAAAACAAGATGTAGCTAAAAGTGTTTCTATGTCAGTGAAATAGTAACTGAAGTAGATATAAAAGTAGCTTGAAATTATTTAGAGCAGATACATATTCAAAAGAACCCCACTGGTTCATTTCTACGCAACAAAACAAAAAAGAGTGTTTTATCGGTTTTATGCAATCGTTCCACTAAATAAAGAACAATATAATGCAAATAAATATTAGCCATTCCTTCCACCAAAAGTAGTAAACTTTTGCAATACAGATAGAGCCATGAAACTGTCACAATATCAGGTTTAGCTCAGCTTTTTCAATATTTGCAAGTGTAACCTAAATGTTGTTTTGCTCCAGCTAGTCTGTAAAGCATTTCACAGCCCTTCTTGTTTTTTGTTTTTTTTTTAATCCTACTCTGTTCTTTTCTAGTTAATTTGTTTGTTAGCTGCTTCACCATCACCACAGGCTCTGAATTTGATGCACTCTTCTTCAGAATGTGACTAGATGAGCTGCATGTGAAATACTGGTTGGGGGCGCTAGAGCCTATCCCAGCTGTCATTGGGCGGAAGGCAGAATACACCCTGTGTAATATTATCTTATGTAAGTGATAATTTTCTGTTTTTGTAGAGGCTTATTACCAGAAATTAGGCCTTTTACTGGCTCTGCTATCACTGCATAACATTTAAGAAACTCTCAGATATTAATCTGAAGAACCCTTTCACCAACAGCTTATTTCAGCATGAAATGGTTCTATGTGGACCTCATAGTTCTAAATAGGACCATTTCCTCTACTGATGAACCCTTGAAGAACATTCATCCAGTGTGTGGGTTCAAAACACCAGTAAAATAGGCCGAAACTGATTTATACCAGCAAGCTAACAAACACCCATTTCACAACCTCCGAATTCTCTTTATCTCTCACAAAACACACTGGGACGCACTGTACACACTTTGGTGTTAAAATTCTCTCAGAAGGGCGGGAACGCGTGACTGCTATTCCAAAATGACCCACTAGAGGCGTACTTGTAAGGAGCTGATAGTGCGGGTCTGAAAGTGAGGGTCTGGAAGCGCGACACTGACTTATAGTATCGTGGATAGTGCACTACCTAGGGAGGGAGCGGTCTGGAATTCAGCCTGAGTACGTCAGACCCGAGTGATGCAGTAAATCAGAGCAGGAGCTGAAGCAGCAGAACAGAGCGAAAGTAAAGCCATAAAATAAATAGACGGAATGTGAAAGAAGAAGATCGCTCTCCTCACAAACACAGTCGAGTAGGGTAGTTTCAAAAGTAGAAGGTAGTTACTGTAACGTAGGGGGTTCTTCGAAGAAACTTAGGCGACGGAAAGTTCGAGTCCATAACGCAGTTTTACTTAGAAATACTCGGCACAGCAAAAATACAGGAGGAGAAATACCCTCAAAGAGCTAGCGCTACTCTTCACAATAAGAGTCCCTGCAACAACAAAAACAAGTACAACTTCTACTAACTAAATAGCCTAAGATTACCAAGAACAAGTATTTAATTAAAAGGTTTCACAATTAATTAATCAGAACACAGGCGTGCTTTGACACCACCTCCCATGGAACACACACACACACACACACACACACACACACACACACACACACCTCTCAAAATAGCTTTATCGGCATGAATGGGCTAGTTGCACCAAAAAACTTGCATTAATAGAATATCTTGCTGTGTGTTAGATTAGGTTGTCTGTCTGTTAGGTTGGCGGTATATTGTCTACAGTGGTACAGTCAGTATAGGCAGTGTTTTGGCTCTGTTATTGTTATGTACTGATGAAGGCTGTATATGACTTTTATCTGTTTCTTTATGCTGCCAATTCTGTTGCTTCAGATAAGGACATTCACCAGTGTCGGAGTAGCTAGGTAAAGGGTTGTTTAAGGGAGGCCAGTGAAGATGTTGGAGGATATGGGTGTGATGTGATGATGCGAGAAGACGAGCAGCAGATTCCTGGACCATCTGCAGCTGGTGGAGAGAAGTAGGGCCAGTGCAGGCAAGAAGAGAGTTGCAATAATACCACCCAGTGTGAACAGCTGGTATTGCTATCGGAGAACATGTGAAGACTCTGAGATAAAACTGTAAGCTAGTCTGATATCTCTGACCAAGCACTCTCACTACATTTACATTTATGAGTTACTTCAAACCTCTGTTGTTGTTAGTGTGTGTGTGTGTGTGTGTGTGTGTGTGTGCGCGCTGTTTCTGTTTAAACTGAATTAATCAATGTGAAATTTCACATTGAATGAATGAATGGGTGGATTGGGGATCAAGTTTGGCCATGTGATGGGGGAGTTCGACAACATCCTCCTGAGGATGATAAACAGTTCTGAGCATGTCTTAAAAAATCTTGAATCATATTTTTAATAATATGAACTAATAAATAATCTCATGGTGTTGAGAAACAATGTGATTGCTACATCAAATAACCACACCCAAAAGCAATGATGCCTAATGTCTATGATGCTGTTTAATCTTTTTAATGAAGACTATATGGTTTTATTGTCTGACTTGCATACTCTTCACATACTGTGGCCAACAAGACTCTATGCACATCACAATTAAAAAGACATAGTAAACTCATAAACAGAATATACTTTCATCACCATGACTACACCTAAACTACATATAACAAACATGCTGCAAATTCAGAAAATACATGCAACTAAAGAAATGCTGCCTGTCACATCACAATGGAGATGTTTCTGGAAGACTGTCATAAGTGGATGAAATATCTTTTATGGGAAATCACTGACTTAAGTTAATAAGATCACTCAGCTTCACACTCCAGTAAACTGATGGTTAACGTGGCTAGTCATCTGTCTAATTTGTTATAGCTGTACTGCCGGTAGTTACCACTGCTATGGACAAAAGCACTAAGTCACTTTAAAATGTACATATATTCATTACAGATTATCCCTTGTTTAATACATTTGTACATAGCAGAAAGTTTTTCTTGCATAGCTCCCTCCTGTCTCTATATTTTGTGTATATTTAATATATTTCAGTTTTAGTATATTTTTTTTTGTATTTTTATTTTGTTTTGTCTGCACTGTTACTATGTATATAAACCTGCGTCTCACCACAAGCATTTCAATGCATGAATGTCCTGACATGCTGTGCAAATGACAAATAAACTTGTCATGAACAAAACAATAAAAAAAAAAAAACGTATCAGTCATATCCGTTATTGCTGTTTGAAATTTACAGTTACACTCTACAGCTAATCCCATCATGACCATGTTTTCAAAACTGTAATAGGGCACATGTGGAGTAAATCATAGGTTAACTTACTTTTACTGGTGAATGTTTATGCTTAAAACTAGTTATGTTTAAAACTATGAATGGCTCCAGTGTCCTCTGAAAGCATTTCCATTGTGTTGTGATGGACAGCATTTGCGTCAAGTTGCATGTGTTTTGTTTTGTTTGTGAATTGTAGCGCTGGTGTCGTCAATTTGAAGAACTTTTCGGAGTTTGCAGAACATTAACAAATTTGCCACCCATTTTATTATTTTCCAGAGCATATATATTGTCATTTTTATGAAAGCGTTTTCTCGTTTTTTATTTGCAATTTTTTGGATCTTCTCAGCCCGTGTACTTCTCCAATTCCACTCTTCACTTTTTCTCCTTCTTTGCCTTCTTCTCTGCTTTCTTCTGGGCCCGTTTTTCCTCCCACTCTCTCCAGCGAGTCTCCAGAGCCCATCTCCTCTCCTCATATATGTACAGCCTCTCCCTTTTCGCCTGCTGGTACTGCGCCTCAGTCATCCGTATGCCCATGGGTGCTGTTCAGAGAGGAAGAGGTCAGTCTGTCAGTAATGCAGATATAATAACTTATAAATTATGTGTTTGACCAACACTGATCCCTGATCTTACTTAAGTTCATAGTCAACCTCTGTGATCCACATTGTACATAAATAATACTACAGTGACCCCTACAGGTGCTACAGAACATTACAGTCACACTTTAATGTTTTCTATTCATTTTTTTAAGGAGTCTCAGAGATGCACATATAAAGTAACTCACTCATAAAGATCTTGTGTCTATGTTCCTCCTCCTTCTTGAGGCTTTTGGCTTTCTGGTGTCTCTCGTTCACTTTTTTGTTGATCCAGCCGATGATCCTCCTCCTCATGCTCTTGTAGTTACTCGCTGTTTCTCCAGGTCCTGGAGCAGCTTGTCTGCTCTTTCATTATGTTCCTTCAGTGTTCTCTGCAGCTTTCTTTCTTCCTCTCTATCTGAATATTCCTCCTTCATCTCCTCAAACAGTGTCACCTCCTTCTCATGAACTGATTCCATCTGTACAAACAAAAACATTAGATATTAGATTAGATATAGATATAAGATTAGATTAAATTTTTCCTTTATTGATCTCAGAGGGAAGTTGTTTTGTTGCAGCAGCATAAACAAGACACATGAAGCTATGAGGACACAGACATAAAATTCTGCAATACACAGAGCTATCTGTAACTATAAAATTACAATACAATGGAATTTGAGTGGCTTGTTTTTGTAGAAAATTTGACACAATTTTTAACACAAAATACAACATTACAAAAAAAGTTTTTTAAGAATTATGTTGGAAATATATCAATGTAAGGTCAATTGTAAGAACCATCTAGACAAAAACATACAAAAGAAAGCCATGCTCACCCTAATGATTTAGAATAATTTCTCAGATAGTTTCTTCAGCAACAACAAGCAGCCTGTTAAGAACCAGAATAATTCGATTGAGGTAGTCATGTGGACTGTGCCTATTTAAATAGTTTCGCGTCGGTGACGTTACGCAATGTTCAAGATTCTCTGACGTCACAATGGACAGGTCGACTGGTATATTTAAATACTGTCAAGTTGGTGACACCATGCACAGAGCTCATGAGAAGCCTGGTCTCTTCCTATTTCCCTTACAATAAAAATATGACCACGAAACGCCAGAGGGCACCTGCGAACAAGTCTTTAATGAATGGGGGCGAATGGAGCTAAATGGCTAAAAACAAAGTTAATAGTTTCTAATCACTTGCCCAGAACTTTCCTTAAATTTTAGAAAGTATAAGAATGTATTTCACTAAAAAACTAAGAAAACTTAGCTGTATGTTGTATTTTTTGTACAGCAAACAGGTTTTGGGCAGCAAGTCGTTAGCATTACTGCTACTGAGAGCTGATTGTTTGGCGAGAGAAGCAGCTCATCAGCTGTTTATGGTCATTGACGTCATAAACGTACATGAGGCTATGTTTTAAACTCCTATAGCAGGCGTTCCAAAGCTTTTATAAATATAACAGCAATGTTAATGTTTTATGTAGTTCTGTGTTCAGGAAACTAATGTGTTATTTTATATTAAACATATTTAAGCATTTGCAAACTGAAAAAGCTCCAAACTAATTGTAAACTCAAAAGCTTCATCTTAACCCTGTACTGATAGGGATTTTCATCTTAAAAGCTCTTTCAGAGGCTCTGTCACTTCAACCAGTCATAAATAAGAGGAAAGATTTAAGATGGTGTTGTGCTATTCCCCTCAAAATAACAAAATTACTGTCAGAGATATAATTTAAATCCACTTCTTCATTATTTCAGCACATTTTACACTGAATAAAGTTAACATTATTAAAGTAAACTTACACATTAACCTACGCATCACAGTCCACTGTCAATGAGCATTCAAAGTGGCTCTGACTCTACCATAATAAGCAAACTCCTCAGTAAAAGAAAATGCTTACAACCTGAATGAAGTAGCATGTAGCTAAATTACTGAAAATCACCTATTTAACCAATAAAAGTTCACATTTTTTGCTGGAGTGTCCTCTCCACGCCAGCAGAGAAATATTAGCTCTGACTAAACTGTGTGACATCAGAAAACCACTGACTTTTCAACACTGATAGAGACTGCTGAACTCATCTGCTCATGTTATCACAATAGTACAGGTTAACTGGCAATTTGACCACAAAATGCTACCATACAAAAATAAGTCAAATGCATCCAAAACTAACTTTAGCATAAGGATAACTTGTCACAGCAACACCAACTAAAATAAGAGGTTACTAAGACTGTGCTATGATCTAAATATTATTCAAAACTTATTATTATTTGAGTTTCTGTTATTTGAGTTTAAGAAGTGTGACTATTGAAGTGACAATTGTATCAGTAAAGCACAATTCAGCTAAAAAGAATTGGAATATAAAAAAATACAACACAAAATAATACAATATGAAATAATACCAGCCAAAATTGTTAAGTGTTAACATAATTTCTAGCCTCTTAACAATCATGACTAGTATCAGTCACAATTTTCATATCTGTTGATCTCTAATCCAAGTGCTAGTATTCAACTGAACTGAATGCTAACGATTTTTACACCCTTTTTTCAAAGCTCTCATTGAGAGAGCCCATTATTTACAGTTACCATCCAGTACCTGGACCTGTAGGAGACTGGTCCTGGGCAGAGAGGTGTAGGAGACT